TTATTACGCTCTCATGACTTTTCCATCATACTGGCAACACGTATTCTTACATCACACTATCATAGTACTCTAATTTTTGTCTTAAAAGATTTAAGATTTTTATTTTGATATTTTTATACGTTTTTACTCTCATCCGGGGAAGATTGTAAATTTTGATTATCAATTTTTAAAAAAATATGTTATAATTAAATTTATCTTGTAAAATACTTCCAAAATTTATATTTAAAATATGCATGATGTGATATGTATGGTATGAAAAAGTAAGGGTAAACTGGTTTTTTAAAAGAAAGTGGAAGTGTTTTGTTGACTGTGAAAAAAAAATGAAAGAGGAAATGGTTTTGAGAACGGAAGGAATAATGAATTATAGAAGTGAATTAATTATTGTGAAACAAAGATTTAATTAAGAGACGATGGATCGGAGGGACGTCACCTGCTTCTACTGTGTGTCCACCTCCATTTCCGTAGCCTATAAATATGGAAATGGGTACGCCATTTGATTCCATTCTCAAAAAACACAAACCCTCTCTACACTATATACACTGTTTGTTTTAAATTAACTAGTAACTCTTCCTCTAGCCACTATTATTATTATTATTATTATTATTATTATTATTATACGGAGTAGAAAATGACAAACCCAAGCATCAAAACACGCTCGGTTTTTGTATTTTTCATCATCTGTCTATTGCTCTCTGCAGAGGCACGCATCGTCAACAACAACAACAACAACAGCAATCCTAAAAGTAACGATGACGAAACCCAGCAGCGGTCTTTGGTTAGTCTCAAGGGATTCGTCAACCCCTCAATGATCATTGGAAAATCTAAAAGAAGATTCCTGGACGAGGAGCCGAATAGAGTGGCCCCAGGAGGTCCAGACCCACACCATCATATATGGTAAATAATACGGAGTACTAATAATGTTAGCTACTATATATACGTTCATTATATTTAATTTGTGCAACAAGGAAATAGCCAAATTGAATTATATTATTAATTCTCTTTTCAGATAAATAAGCAAGCAATACTGATCGGAATATGAAGATGGATCCAGCTCGTCCGTGTGCATGGTTAGGTTGCATGCATCCTGCAGATAGCGAGCTATATAGCTAGCTAGCTCTTGTATAATAATAACGCCTAGCTATATATAAATAAATAAATAAATAAATGTGGGATGGATCAATCGATCGATATTAATTAATAATACTAATATAAGTTGCGTGAGCTGTTGTATAATATAATTATTGTCTTGTGTTTCTCTTTAATGTGATATATAAATAAAATAAAGTCACTTTGTTCATTATTATCCCATCAATTTCAATTCCACTTACATTTACACGTACTCGTCAATGCATGCTTACTAGCTAGATGAAAACTATAAAGGGTTTACTTGCGAGAGGAATTTACTTAAATTAAATAATACCAAAACATAATGACTTTTTCTAAATAGCACCAGATGTGTTTTTCTTCTCAATGTAGCACTTTTAGTCATTATGCATTAGTTATTGATCAAGTAAATATTCGGCATCATAAGACATTATGGACATTATTAAGTGCTATTTAGAGAATAAAACAATTTAAGTGCTATTTAGAGAAATGACTTAACTTTTAGTGCTATTTAGTGCAAATAATTCTTACTTGCCATTCCACGCCACCTTAGTTTAACGCCTCCCTTTCCTACTTTTGACTCGTGTGGCATCCTTAGAGCATGAGCAATGTTGAGGCAAAAATGGAATGTCACACGCTGACATGGAACATTACAGCCAATAAAAAACAGTTTAATCAGCGTGTGGGAAATGTGTAGAGTGAAGTGTTGTGCAGTGAAGTCTCTGTTTTTGTCATTTTTTACTTTTTTTAATTAAAAGTTAATTTCCTTATCTTTTTTCATAAAAATAGATGTTCTCATTTTTAGAAAAAAAGAGCTTGATTAGAGTAACAATCGGTCATTATTATTTTTATTTTCATTTTTTATTTACTTTAAATTAAAAAAATACTTTTATCATCTATTTTATCATATATATATATATATATATATATATATATATATATATATATATATATATATATATATATATATATATATATATATATATATATCCAATACCTTCATAAAAAGTTTATTTGTTTCTTAAGTTAAAAAAAAAGAGAGAAAAAGGTTTTGGGAGTAATGAAAATATATTCGGTTTTTCCTTTTTGCACTTGGTGGATTTATAATCAACTAGCTACTTTTGTCTTAGAAAGGAAAAGTGAGAAAATATCTAAAATGGAAACAAACACGTTATTTCTTCCAGCTGCTTCAAAATAGGGAATGAAAAAAATACACATTTTCAATTCTGTACACCAATCCTCGATCACAAAAGAAAAACAAAAAAGGGAATAAAATTGGCTCGCGCATGACTCTCGCTAGGAGGGGTGACACGCCATAAGAATAACTTCAAACAAGGGTGGCGGCTGACTTGGTAGAGCATGGCAAGGAAAACCTTGCCATGCCGCTACCAGTGCTCTTTACCATGCATGGAGTGGACTAATTGTGTCACTCCATCCTTGTAGATTATCGCAATAATTTTATCATTATTTATAGGCCTATTTTAGTTTATTATTATTATGATTATTGTTCTTAAATTACTATTCTCTGTGCAAAATATTCCCTTATCCATCCCCCTCTCCAAAAAATCGTGTACGTGATTGAATAATTGGAAAACTATATTTTTGTGGGTTTCTTCTAGAGAGCTCGAGAGCATAGAAATGGATAGAGAAATAGAGAACGAGCCACAAGGTGAAAAATAAGAAAATCATCATTCTTGCTCCAATAGCCAAAACTTTTGAAAAAACTTAGTAAGCATACTCTCAAGATCATGCAATATTACCTCTAATCTACTTTTAGGAGTTGTCATCCGAAAATTGCATTGGCCGGCTCAGTGGCGGACCCAGACCTTCAAATGAGCGGTGTCAAGAGCAAAAGGGCCAGAACTTCTTGAGTAGATTGTGTGGGCACATGACAAAAGTTTGGAGGTGGCCTCTCGAGATTTCTTATACAAACACAATAAGACATAACAAAAAATATCAAACTAATAAATTTTATCTTTAACATTTAAATAATTAAAATAACATAATTAAATGAAACTATTACTAATTATAAAAATGATAAAAAATGATAGCAATAAAAAAGTGTAGTTAATACACATTACAGTGGTAGATAACTAATTTTTTAAATACATTAAGAAGCAACAAAAAACTACGGAGCAATACATTTTCCTCAAACATTCAAATGATTCAAAATAACAAAATTATGGAGTAGAAAAAAATTATTATTAATTATATAAAAAATTATTGTCAATATCTAATACTATTTTTTAAAAAATTCAGTGGTGTCGGTTGTCACCATCGGCCGCCCCCTAGGTCCGCCCCTGGGCCGGCTCATTTTAGTACGTATGCTCAAAGATGTTTCTCGCTACCGCGGATTCGCTTACAGTGGGATATGAAGAATTATTGAGATAATAGAAAATAGAACTTTATTATCATGTAGTTCCCTTATTCTGCTGTTACTATAATTCCTTATTTTATTTTAGTTAGGATTCTCCAAATAATATATTACCTCCGTCTCAGTATATTTGTCCAATTTGATTTTTTCGACTCACTATGGATAAACTTTGACATTCAATTACTCTCAATTTGTATGATATATTAGTATAATGAAATACAATTTAGAAAGTTTTCAATAAGATAAATCTAATAAAATAATTTTTATACAAAAATACATTACGTTTTTTATTTAATTGAAGCTCGAAGTTGATCGAGTTTGACTCGAAAAAGTCAAACTAGACAAATACACTGAGATGTAGGGAGTATATATATATATATATATATATATATATATATATATATATATATACACATACATACATACATACACACACACACACACACATAGATACATGCATACATACATACATATTGATGGTGTAAATCTAACCGGATAAATAGTACTAGACCGGGTCTAGGATTGTTTACTTGATTCGGAAAGTAAAAAGGTAAAAACACACAAAATGACCGGGAGGACTGTAGGTGGAAACACCTGTAGCCCCAATTAATATTATAACAAAGAATGCATGAGAGCTTTTACAAGGAAGTTTAAAGAGAAGAAAATTGGATCCCTTCTTTCGAAGGTTACAGTATTTATACTAAGCTAAAAGGGGGACAAAGCATCGTGCACCCACGTCAGGGCACGTTCCTGGGTGATGCGAGGTGATTGCCTCTGTCCTCTAGCTACCTCGTCGCCTAGTGAGGAAGGTGACTCCCTCATCGCGTAGTACTTCGGACGGATTACTCGAGTATCTCACTTTTCGCATTCGCCTTCTCAAGCTTTCACCGGTCAAGTTCTCTGCTCAGCTCCCCAGCCCTCCGAGTCAAGTAAGCTTTCCTTCCTATCTTCATTTCCTTTCCGGGTCAATGTCTTCTTCTGATAGTTAGAATATTTCCTCCTCAGATGCCTACGCATCTAAGGAATCCCCAACCTCTTCTTCTTCGACCGGGTATTATTCATCCAAATTTGAACCCAGACCGGCTCCCAACCCCACTGTCCCCGAACCGGAGCCGGTCAATCAGATGCCCGTTCAAGAGAGGGACAAACCGGTTGATGATGGACCGGCTCCCTATCACCCGGGTAATGAGTCTTGGGTTCAATGGGAGGAAAGGTTGGAAGCAGCCGGTAACTCTCCCCTCCCCACTTTTTAAATATTTTGTATATAAAAATGTCTTATACTTTGAGATATCAATAGAGAAACAAAGTATGAAAATAAAAAATCAGGAAATACTATATGTAACGGATCGGATACACGGATAAACGGTTATTTAAATGGATGTCAATGCGGAGCGGATTATAAACGGATCGGATGTATGATTACCAAATCCGTATCCGTTTAACAATCGGATACGGATAATAACTGCTTTTAACATATGCGGATATTTTTCATATAAACGGATACGGATGCAGACGGTAATCGAATTTTCGGTTATCCATTTACAGCCCTAGATGGGGGGGCCATAGCGCTGACCACCTGTGGTTGGAAAGGTGATGGCTGTGGAATCGGCGTCTGAAAGGGAGACACTGTCATTGGAGTTTTCAAAGGCATCGTTCCAGCGCCTGGAAGGGCGAATGGTAACATACCCGGAAGGAATGGCATCCCACTATTCTGTTGGCACATAGCCATGACCTAGCCAAAGCCCTGATTGGCCTGTAAGTTGGCCGGGTCGTTCATGAACTGGGTTATGCTTGGCGGGAATGTGACCCTCGGTCCAGCAGAAGGGGTAGGGGCTGCAAATGGTGTAGCCATGCTTGGTGTAGGGATGTGAGTTAATCCCAACGGCACCACAGAGGCAGAGTTTGCCGGTTGTGTAGCCATCAGGGGGATAGTGATCCCCTTAGTGGTGGCTTGAACTTGAGCAGAGGTAGCGTTGTTTTGCTGGCTTGAAGACATTTTGGGTGGTGTTTTTGTGGGTAGATTTGTGTTTAGACGAAAAGAAACCTTAACGGTCCCACGGGTGGCGCCAAAAATGATGGTGTAAATTACCTAACCGGATAAACAATACTAGACCGGGTCTAGGATTGTTTACTTGATTCAGAAAGTAAAAAGGTAAAAACACACAAAATGACCGGGAGGACTGTAGATGGAAACACCTGTAGCCCAATTAATTTATAACAGAGAATGCACAGGAGCTTTTACAAGGAAGTTTAGAGAGAAGAATATTGGATCCCTTCCTTCGAAGGTTACAGCAGTATTTATACTAAGCTAAAAGGGGGACAAAGCGTACTGCACCCACGTCAGGGCACGTTCTTGGTGATGCGAGGTGATTGCCTCTGTCCTCTAGCTGCCTCGTCGCCTAGTGAGGAAGGTGACTCCCTCGTCGCGTAGTACTTCGGACGGATTACTCGAGTATCTCCAATGATTCTCCGTTGATCATGGTCGCTACGGTCCAAACTCCTTTGGACTCTTCTCTGCCGACACTCTCAAATCCTAAAACCATAACGAGTAGTGTTTGAGGGATGGCAAACTGGAATTGGGGAATGAATGAGGCGATAAAGTATTTTGACCGGTATACTGTCCGAAGTGTACCGGTCGTCTTTTTGGACAACCGAGCACCCTTTTACTGACGATTCAGGTCACCCATCCTTGGAAATCAACCTTGACCGGTTAGATATTCGAACTTCTTTTTTGACCGGTTCTGGGTGGAATACACCCATCACACACACACAGATATATATATATATATATATATATATATATATATATATATATATATATATATATATATATATATATATATATATATATATATATATATATGAAATATTTGCACTAAATAGCACTAAAACTTAAGTCATTTCCCTAAATAGGACTTAAACTGTTTTATTCCTTGTATGTATGTATGTATATATGTATGTATATTTGTAATATTTATTATTTAATAGGACCAGTTCACTTACAAAATCAAAATTTTATCTTTTTTTATATAAATAGATTTCTTAGGTAACAACTAGTGGACGACCTCACCTTGTTTTGTTACTCATGGTGTTTGTGGTTACCAGTTTCATACGTCTCAAAAATGGATAATAAAATGTTCACTTATCCTCTTAATGAATGATACGGAGTAAAATAAAGTTGAGTTTTCCTTTTTTGGGTGTAACGTGTTTCCCCTCGTAATGATGAGTAATAATCGTTACTCCGTATGTAACTTAGAGCACTGGGTATACTCATCACCCCCGCCGGTGTCAAGGGCCCGGGGGCGTGAAACACCGCCCTCCTCCGGCGTTAACGGGGCGTGAGTATACCCGCGTCTTTAGTTTGACGCGGCGTTGCTTTGTTTTTTCAGTNCCCCCCCCCCCCCAATTAAAAAAAATAATTCTAAATTTAAAAAAAAACTATAAAATCCCCCTTTCTCATACATCTCTCTCACACCTCTCTCTCACACATCTCTCTTTATATTCTCACTAAAATATTTATTATTTATTATAAATATTTATAAAAAAAAAATTAAAAATGGGTTCATCTTCCAACAATGAAAGAAGAGCTTTCTTTTTTCGTTGTTTTGCGACGAATTGTATTCAATGGTGGGAAGATGGCCAAGAAGAAGCCGAATCCTCCCAACGATGGACCCGACGCCAACAACGACATCAACGTTCTCGATCAATCCCCTGTTTTTGACGATTGGGTTAATGACACCGCACCGGACTCCTCTTTTGAGCTTAGAGGGACGCTTTACAAGCGTGGATATTATTTGGCCGATGGAATATATCCAGATTATTCCACGATTGTAAAATCCCTCTCCGAACCAATGGGTCTTAAACGCCAGACATACAAAAAAGCTCAAGAGGCGGCGAGAAAAGATATTGAACGAGCCTTTGGGGTCTTGAAGGCTAAGTGGCACATTCTAGATCGTCCATCAAAATGTTATTCTCAGACAAAAATGAGGAATATCATGTATGCATGTATTATTCTTCATAATATGATCATAGAGGATAACGGGTCTGCGATTTGTCAATACAACCCGGACGAGGAGGTGCCTATGTACGAAGAAATCACCGAAGAAAAGAAACGACGCAACCGCCAAGAAATTCAAAGCCGAGAGATTCACAATGCACTAACGGCGGATTTGATCGAGCATATCTTTAGTCGTTCGAATAATTAGTGATTTCTTTGTACTGTTGTTTTTTTGGTTGTAATATTTTTTTAAATGAATGTAATTTTTTTTTTGAATGTTTTTTTTATGAATGTAAGTTTTTTTATAATGAATTTAATTTTTTTTAATGCACTAGTGTCATTGCGATTAATTAAAATAATAAATTAATTTAAATTTATTAATTTAAATTTAGAAGATGTATATTTAAAAATGTAAAAAATGAAGGTTTGAAGCCCCAGTTTGAAGCCCCGGGGCTTCAAAACCATTTCCAGTGAATTTTTGGTGTAAGTTAAAGCTGACATGGCAGAGAGAGAGAGTTTGAAGCCCCGGTTTGAAGCCCTGGGGCTTCATGACCATTTCCAGTGCTCTTAGGTTTAAATTTATATTGGGTTAGATTCTTCCTGGACATTCCACTAGATATCCTTATCCTTATCCATGCGTGAGCAGTGGCCGATCTAAATGGTGATTAGTTGCCCCAAGTGAACTGACCCTGTTTTATTAGATATACATATATTCAAGATTAATTTTTGGGTTGATTACTTTGATGCCCCTAGTCCAAATTGAGTACCCCCTCCACTTGCAAAACTCAAAATCCATCACAATGACGGAGTATGACATTTTCAAAAATAAAAAATAAAAATCTTGTAAGTTTTGCGTAGTAGGGAATTAGCCACACGCCTCATTTATATTTTATTTCTTTTCTTTTTGATAAATTGAGTTATATTCCTTGTTTATTTAAAAATTAGGTTCATGTTTTATTTATTTTGTATGGTTAAATATTATTTGCAGTATTTCCTACTAATCTGTATGAAAATAGAATATGAAGTTGTTTATTTAATTGAATCTAACACGTTATTTTTATCTTAATATATATTAATAAATAAAATTATTAAGGAAGTAGTGAGATAGAATTGAGAGTAAAAAATTTTGACACATAATTATTGAACTAAGATGTAAATTCATGTAATTATGTAGTAAATAAAGTTATTCTCCATAATTGATTTTTTAAATAAAGTTATTTTCCACAATATACATAATTGATTTTTTAAATAAATTTGAAAATAAAATATTTATAATATGATACTAATTGTGGAGTAAATAAAGTTATTCTCCAAATTGTAAATTACAGAGTATATTTTTCTAAAGAAATCACTCAAAATAAGAGTAAGCATAGAATTTATTCTCAAAATAGAAGTTTTGTATTTCTATCCCGAAATTAAGAGTTCGGATTGTTACATTATAACACTATATAATGGCATCCCACCGTATTTTTTGGTACTATATATTGACATTATACCATTGTACTCTTATTTTGGGAATAAAAACATGAAGCTCCTATTTTAGTACTCTCTTCATTTTTACTCCTAGTTTAGTCTTTTTCTCAATTTTCTAATTTTGGAATATTTTATTTAATTTTAACTATTTGAATACTTTTTTTGTAAAATTGAATACTTGTTTGATATGAATCTTTTATAATTTCAAGTCAGCTTTGAAAAAAAATCTAGTGACGCTTTCCCGAACTCCACCATGTTTTTGTAGCTAATGCATGGTGCCCCGAGTCAATATTTCTTCTGGATCCGTCACTGTGCGTGGGGGAGAGTTCGTTATTGTAAAGGCAAATGATGTTGAGAGAATAATATTCGAATTTGAATTTTAGCAATTGCATTAAGATTTAAGAGACAATTATATTAAATATATAACCTTTGTGGGTACCAGATGCATAATCCATTTTTTGACACCAATCTATTATTAAAACATAATTTATCTCTTTGGTGAACGTAATGTCCAGCTGCTTCTCTGGGACCCTAAGGGATACGTTCCTCTTTTTTGGATATTCTTATCGTTTTTTGTCATCACTTAAAGAGTTGTTCCTCGATGCCTTTTAAAATTATTTGTGAAATTTGAACTTTCTCACATTTTTTATGAGCTGTTAAATGATCATATATTTTTGCAATGGGTCCATTTTTTATGATATTAATGCACTAAGACTTAAAAAATGAATATAGACCTTATAACCACGTAAAAATTTAGCTCATTTGAGTTGGCTGCATCTATAAAAGATGCTTGATAACATTTGATCTTAGTTATTCTCTCTAGCTAATGCTGTTCATCATGATACTCCACACTTTATGGGTCGTATGCTAAACGGATATAGTAGTGGCGCTCCACTATTTGATAGTGGTAGTCCATATTTGTATTCAATTATATTACTTCCATCTCACAAACATTTAAACTCATCACTGGCTATATTTAAAAATGACAAAAAAGATGGTTTTTTATTATAGAATTTAAGATGGGGTGTGTGTAATTGGATTAGACAATAAGACACTTGAGTTGAACTACATTAAAAAATTGAATCAAATCGATTAGTTAGTTCAACTCAAGAGCTTATATCTCGATTATTTCAATCTTGGATTTCCGGTGTGGGATTCACTCTAACACTCCCCCTAAATGGATAATTGGATCATTTTGAATGTAATCGGTTGACCACTTGCAAATGAATTCTCATCCCCTTGGTTTTGTTTTTAGCGATGATACCTAAAGAAACACAAGTCGCTGTGTATGAACTTCCACACGAGTAATAATCGGGTGAAACAGGCCGCTAGATATACAATCCACACGGACAACTAGACTAAAGATTAGAGCCGCTAGGAATGAACGTCTATACAGGCACCTTAATAAACGAGGTGGGCTAAAACTGGTTTCGATACCAGGATAGAATTTAAGATAGAGTATGGATCATTAGATTGGGCAGTAAGATACTTGAGCTGAACCACATTAAAAGATTGAACCAATCGATTAGTTAGTTCAATTCAAGAGCTTATATACTGATTATTGGACATCCATTGTGGGATTCATTGTAACAATTTATATTTTTTATTGTGTAAAATCCATTAATGGTCCCTAATTAAGGTGATTTTCTATACTTAGTCCCTAATCCTTATATATTTCATAAATGATCCTCAATTTTGGAAAAATATTCTATAACTAGGCCTTTAGGGACTGTTTGTGGAAAAAAGGTTTTCTCATATTTGGCCTAAAGGAATATTTATGAAATAGTTTTTTTAAATTGAGTACCATTTATGAATTATCTACGAATTGGGATTGATTATTAGCAGGTGAAATAACATATTCTTAGCTTGCCACTTCCTATTTTGTAGAATTATTGATTTACTTTTAAATATGCAAGTTTTATTTTATATTTCTATACCAATTTTTAAATAAAATAAATTGAAAATACTTAGAATTTTACTTCATTTTGGATAATGTGTACATTTAAGGACAAAGGGAGTAATATTTTTATAACATGGACGCTTATACAATGACAATTAATAACGTAACACAAAAGGATCCCACAAAAGTAAAGTCTGAGGAGGGTTTGTATACGCAGACCTTACCCCTACTCGAAAGTAGAGTGATGGTTTCTAAGAGACGCTCAGCTATGGTAGAATGAAAGAAAATACCATGCAAGAAAAAAAATACTCCCACCGTACCACAAAATATATCTTGTTTTAATTTTCATGAGATTTAAGAGGAGGGTATTTTAGTGTTGACTTTCCAAAAATGCCCTTGGATGTGATAGATAAAAGTAGATGTGATGGGTAACTTAGTAGTAAAAAAATATGATGTGATAGGTAGGTTAAGAATTAGTAGGGATAAAAGTGACTTTTTAATATAAATAAAAAAAGTTTTTTGGAACAGATGAAAAAGGAAGGAGAAAAGTTTTGTGGGACGGAGGGAGTACATAGTAGCAATTCATGTCAAGAAAAGTATAGAGAGACAAAGGCACACAAATAAGTACAATAAAAAGATCATTATTTAAGGGACTACCCAACTATCCTAGTATTAAATCTCTATACGCTTCTTTCTAAGGTCATATCCATGGTTAGGGTTAAAAGTTCTAAGTCGTACTTGATCACTTCCTTCCAACTCTTCCAAGGTGTACACCTTCCTCTACACTGGCCCACTATGGTAAACCTCTTGCATATTTGCATCAGGGCCTCAACCCTATGCAAATTCACGTGACCAAACCATTTCAATCTGGCCCAGGGGCGGAGGAGGGGGCTGCATGGGCACGTGCCCCCAACAGTTTTTCGGCGAAGAGCTTCTATTGATGGCCGTAAGTGATTGGGTGCTCTGACCAGCTACGAAGGAACGATGGTTCCCCACCCCCCACCCCCCATGATAGGCGCAACAACTATGGAGTATGATCTTCTTCTTCGTTGTGTTCTTTTAATTTTATTTTTCTGCCTTAAAACAACGTCGTTTTTCATTTTTTTTAAAAAAAATGATACCCTAAACGACATCGTTTGTGATTAGGGTTAGCCAAAGAAAATGTCCTACTCCTGTCAAAGTCTAATTCTTGCTCCCAATCCTAAAAGGCCAAAATGGCGAATCCAATCCAGATTCCAGAGAGTAGTGTTCATCATCTTTGACATCCTTCCTCAGTGCCTCCTTCGCCCATTTCTTTGCTGCTTTCAGCCGTCCAGCCCACCGTCGATGGTGACCTAGAGTGAGCACAACGACGATGACGGTGAAGAAACAAGAATAAAATAATAAAATCGCGTAAGATATAGGGTCTCAGTGGCTAAATTTAACCAATCCTTTTGAATCGGTTATTAGTAATAACCGATTTAAAAGCCTTTTGAACTGGTTCTTACTAACAATTTATTCAAAAGGTATTAATCTTTTGAATCAGTTATTAGTAATAACCGATTCAAAAGGCTTTTGAATTAGTTATTACTAATAAACAATTCAAAATGGTCTTGATGTTGAAATCCAGTACCCCATTAGCATTGGTTTTCTCTAAAATCGATGCAAATGGGGTAGTCGATTTCACCTTTTTTTCTAGTAGTGTGTGGCCTCTCGCCTCTGCAAGTTCGCCAAAGAGCCTCGGCTCCTCACCGCCTCCGCCCCTGTTTTGTACAGATTTTTTATTTTAAAGTTTTTAAATGTTTTATAATTTATAAGTAAAATATTTAATGGTTGAATTTATATTTGTTTCCAAGTGATGAGTTGTGGTAATTGTATAGTCTTAATAGGTTTAATTTTGAATGATTATTATATATAATACTCTGTATCTATTTCCTAATTTGAGAGATTATTATTTATTAAATGTCCAATTACTTTTATTGTTATTTTATTATTTATTAAATGTTCAATTTCATAGTCTTAATTGGTTAGATTTTATAAATTTTGTTTTTTTATTGTTATATTTTGAACTATTTGAATGCTTGAGTCAAAATTTATTACTTTTTTTCATATCAAATTAGCTTTAACAAAAAATATCAGGGGGCGCTGCCCCAGTCCCGTAATGTGCCCCACGTAAGCGAGCTTCTGGCTCCGCCGCTGAATTCTGGCCACACACAACTTGTCCTCCACATGTCAACCTGAGCATTCACATTTGTGCCACTTGCAGTTGACCGACATAAGCCTTCTTAGCGGCGAAACACTTCGCTCCATAAAGCATATCCGACCTAATCACTGACCAATAAAAATTTTCTTTCATCCTAACTAAAATCTTCTTATCACACAGGACCCTTGAGGCTAGCTTCTACTTTGAAGCGGCTTTAATACGTTGAACTACCTCTCCTTCGATCTCCCCATCTGCATGAATAATCAAACCAAGATAGTGAAACTTATCCTTCTCAGACACTAGATTTGAATCAATCCTAACTTCCACTTCCAAATTTGTCACCCGACCACTAAAGCAATACTTCAAATACATTGTTAGTCTTGCTCAGTCTGAATCAATTCATACCTAACTAAACTTTCAATATTTTATAATGAGTGGGGTTTCGTTGACACCAGCCAATGGTGCCACTAGCGGTGCCACTGCATTTTTAGACCACCTCTGGTGCTCCGTTCAGAAAACTAAAGATTCCTCCCCCAACCCATCCCCTAAACCCTCTCACCCTATATCCCCACCCCAACCCCCACCCTAGTCCTGCCTAAGCCCCCCTACAAATGTGTGGCTATTATGGTAATGCATAATAGCCACACATTTGGTAGGGGGCTTAGGGCGGGGATGAGGTGGGGGGTAAGGGTGGGGCTAAGGTTAGGCCGTTTAGAGGGTGGGTTAGGGGGTGGAAAGAATCAATTTTTCAAAAGGAGCACCGGAGGTTCTCTAAAATTGCAGTGGCACCGCTAGTGGCACTATTGGCTAGTGTAAATAGAATCGTGCCCTTTAACTATTTAATGTTTTCCTACTTCTTCCAATTTGTACCAACTCATTCCAATTTTTCTAATTTTTTTCAGCTTCTTCAAATTTTTTTCAACAATGACTTCAAACAAGTTATTTTGGTGTATCTTTCATATTATTCTAATTACAATTCTCATTATTATTAGTATTATTATTAAGATAAAAACAAAGAATAAAAATAATGGTTAACTAGCATGAAAGGAAAATATTAAATTGAGCAAATTTTGTTTTAAAAATACTCCTCCTATATATATATATATATATATATATATATATATATATATATATATATATATATATATATATATATATATTATATATATATATATACATACATACATATATATACATACATACACACACACACACACATACATACATACATACATACATACATATACATACATATATATATATATATATATATATATATATCTGTGTGTGTACTCCCCCAGGGTTCGCCCATGGCAAATATATTTTCTGTTTAATCATCCTTGCGATGTGATGCGCACGTTGATAACGTATCAGAGAGTTGTACACTTTTCTTTGTTCTTTCCTCTTTTACCGAGTACGAAAGTTTGACTTTGGTCGACACTTGATATCATTTCAGTGTTAACGGTTGTCATCTAATGAAAATTAAATACAATCAATCTCAATATTTAAATTTTCATTACCTTCCAAGAGCAAAGGGATGCAAGAGTCGAAGATGTGATTTGATGTTTTTTAAATCAAATTTTTATCTGAAAATTGGGTTCAAAACCTTTTTCTCCGATACCAAATTGTAACACCTTAATTCGTCCAAGTCTGCAGCCCCTTTCGGACTAAAGTATAAACTTGGTAATCGTAAAATTGAAAAAATTTCAAACACTTTTATTCATCACAAAATAATATGCATAACAGAAACAATATGGAGTTTTCAATGTTGTAGAAGCATAACAAATCACAATCACAAAATATAATTAATTCATGTCTTAGAAATGACAGATCAAAATCATGACATCCATCCCGACAATCTCGCCCCCGTCTGCCACCAGGATCAATCACACCATTCTTTCAGTTTACCTGATTGTAGCAAATAAAATGGGTGCCAATTCTTTATTTCAGAGTCGGTGATGAACCCCGTACTTTTCAAGAACTCGTCCCAATTCTTTATTGCAAAAATGGGTGCCATTGTTAGTGATTATTGCTCTTAGGACTCCTAATGGAGAGAAAATTTTCCCTAATTTGATCACCACTTTTGAATCATTTTTGGATGTGGCAATTGCTTTAACCCATTTCGATACATAATCCACAGCTACGATGATGAATTTATTTCCATTTGATGACTTCAAAAATGGACCCATAAAATCAACGCCCCATACGTCAAAAAACTTTAACTTCAAGAATTCCCCTTTGAGGCATTTCATTTCTCCTCTCGATGTTTTTGGTGCGTTGACAACGATTACAACTTTTAACAAGGGACCTACCATGATTTCCTCCATAGGCAGAAGAATGACAATGATGTAAGGCATTTGTAACTTCATCTTTGAGCAAACATCTTTGTATGACTCCATAAGCACAAATTATGTAGAGGAATGGTTCCCCCGAATGTAATTTTAAGAGTCATATTGCATCTTCTTTTTTTTCTACATAAGTTGCTCTGGTTGGAATTATTCCATTGGAAAGATAATTCGCTATGTCAGCAAACCGTGGATCAATGTTTTTTGCCAACATAAGTTGTTCTCTGATGAAGTAGTCATTCATTGGCATAGTTTTTGCTTTAGGAATTTCCAACCGTGATAAGTAGTCAACTACAACATTTTCTGACCCCTTTTGGTCTTTGATCTCCATGTCAAATTCTTGCAGTAAAAGAATTCACCTTAGAAGTCTTGGTTTGGTGTCTTTCTTTTCCATGAGGTATTTGATGGCAGCATGATCAGTGTATACAATGATTTTGCTTCCGATGGGATATGATCGGAACTTCTCAATCGCAAAGACTACTGTAAGAAACTCTTTTTCAGTTGTTGCATAATAGAGTTGTGCGTCATTAAGAGTATGACTTGCATAGTATATTGCATAGACTTCTCTTCCCTTGCGTTGTCCTAACACAGCTCTGACTGCATAATCACTAGCAGCATACGTGATTTCAAATGGTGAACTCTAGTTAGGTGGCCTTATAATTGGAGCAGTTGTTAAGGCCATCTTTAGCTTAGAAAAAGCTTCTTGACAATCAGTATCAAAATTAAAATATACATCTTCGGATAGTAGATTTTTCAAGGGCTTTGAGATTGTCTTTGATGAAATGACGGTAGAATTCGGCGTGACCGAGAAAACTCCAAATTCCTTTTACAGAATTTGGTCGTGGCAACTTTTTGATGACTTCAATCTTTGCCGGATCAACTTTTATACCACGTTCAGATATTTTGTGGCCAAGTACAATTCCTTCTGTTGCCATGAAATGACATTTCTCCCAATTTAGTACAAGATTGGCTTCTTCGCATATGCTCAACACTTTGTCTAAATTCATGAGAAAATCTTCAAACGAATTCCCATAGGTAGAGAAATCATCCATGAATACCTCCATGATCTCCTCGATGTTTTCTGAGAAAATAGTAATCACACCTTTGAAAAATTCCAAGTGCATTACATAATCGAAATGGCATTCACCGGTATATAAATGTGTCATAAGGACATGTAAACGTCATTATCTCTTGATCATGATGATGAATCGGGATTTGAAAGAATCCCGAGAAGCCATCTAGAAAACAGAAATTAGAATGTTTGGTCATTCTTTCCAGGAGTTGATCAATGAACACGAGAAGAAAATGATCCTTCCGAGTGGTTTTGTTTAACTTTTGGTAGTCAGTGCACATGCACCAGCCAGTAACCATTCTGGTGGGAATAAGTTCATTTTTTCATTTTTTACAACGGTGATTCTTCCTTTTTTGAAACCGCATAAATAGGGATAACCCATTTGTTGTCTAAAATGGGATAGATGAATCCCGCTCTCAACAACTTTAGCACTTCTTTCTTCACCACGTCCTTCCCTGGCAACGGCGCCAAGTTGATTTGCAAATTAGAATGGACAAAAATAACAACTAAAAAGAACCCTTGTAAGTAGGGTGCCGAACCTCAAGGAGACGTGAATTAATTTAATTTAAACAAAAGTTTATAAGAGAAGTTGTAAAATACTTTTGGTCTTTTTGGTTTTAGTGATAAAATAAAAAGTGTAAAAGGAGAGAGTTTCAAACAACACAAAGTTTTGATGATAAAAGATTAGGGGTAGAAATTGGTAAATTAATTGTTCAATGTTTTTATAAAGATTGGATTTTCAACTTATTTTTATATAGAATGTGTGGGGTTGCTCAAAAGTATTTAGGGATCCCCTCGCAATTCACCTAAATAATAACAATTTTGACTTTAACATGCTAATGATAAATCTGGAGTAATTATTTAGTCACAACGCCAACCATAATTATTTTATTGTATAAATACCCAATTCAATGGTGTAAAAATACAACTCAATAATTATGTCCACATGAAAGTCTTCAGTCCCGGTTAAATGTAGAGAAGGCTTACGGTGTTTTTAAAAAGTGTTCTATTTTATGAGTATATCAATTTTAGCTGACATTCCTTTTAACAACTAAGTTTATGATTGGGCCTTTGATTAAAAATCACAAACATTCAATATTTATTTATTTTTAAATACAACATCTAGTATAAAAATAAAATCAAGAATCCATGTTTAAAATGTAAAATATTAAGATGGACAATTAATTACACCAACTTCTAACCCAAATGAATTTAGAAGTCTTACAAAAATTGAAAATGTGTTCTTGAGCTCCAATTATAATGATGGTGTTGATGATGATGAAGATGGAGTGATTTTTGTGTGTTTGGTGGATGGAAGTGGAGAATTCGGAATTGGAGGGAGTGGAAATTGGGGAGTTCAACCTTTTAGAAGAAGAGAGGGCAAGAGGTTTTAAAGATAAAATTGTATATACGGAGTATATACAAACAGTCACAATATTGTGACCAAAGATAGAGTAGCGCACATGAAAATGAGTGTGTCAAACTCATCACATGATCCTGTGTTTGATTCCTCTAACTGTCGATGTTTTGTCATTTTTCTTCTTTTACTCTTGAGCCGCATTTTGAAAAGGTTGTAGATTCTGGGAGCCAAATCACCAAAAATGAGGTGTTTGGCGTGTTGGTCAGAAAACGGCTAGGCATCTACAAGGTTGGGGGCTGGGGCAACCTTATTCTTTATTCTATTATATTTCTTTTCTTCAAATCTCTTCATTTTATTTGGTCCCAAGCTTCTAAGTTTATTTTCCATTCTTGCATTCAGTCTCATAGCGTCTAAATAATCTCAAAATGCCTACAAAACATATAAAACCAAACATAAGACCGCTCTACAAAAATAAAACAGAAAGTTTAAATAAAATATAAAATTAAATTCAATTGAGACTCAAAACTACTCCAAATTATGTCTAAAAAAGGTATAAAATATGTGTATATTAGACATTAAAACGTATCTTTGTTCATTTTTTTTCTTCTCTTTGTTTTCTTTTCAAAAAGTTTTTTTATTTATGTTTTTGTTATGCTTTAAAAATTCAAAAGTGTTTACTTTTTATGATAAAAAATAAATGAAAAAAATAACAAGTACTCCATCAGTCCCAAATTACACATTTCAATTTTTTTCTAAAATAAAACAAAGTTCTATCACTCGGATACTCCATTCTACATTGAGTGTTCCTTGTAAAAGGATCATTTCTAAAATATTGCACGAATATTTCAAGTGCAAGTGTTATCCAATCAAAAATATGAAAGGACTCAAATTAAAAATAATGGAAGGCAGCTCCACATCACCAAAAGGGTCCCTCAGCATACCCCACAAGAGGTTCTAGGAAACAACAAAAAGGGCACTGGGGTGAGCAGCTTGTTGAGTTGAGCTCGGTAGGCCGAGCCGAGCACAAGACTCGCGACCTTAGAGCTACGGGCAGGGATGGAATGCCCCGACTCGGGAAGCAACGATAAGCCTATGAAGATAGAGCCGTACTCGACAAAGAGATTATACAACCAATGCGCAATTGTTGTCATAGCATCATAGACATGTTCGGGCATGGAATCATTGTCGTAATAGCGAGCCCATGTCAAATAAGATTCTATGCACTACCAACAACAGCCAGATGAAAAAGGAACGTTAATCTTGGCATGCTACCATTGTACTCCATCCATCCCAATTTATATTGACTGTTTCAGTTTATGATATTTGATTGAAATTATTTTCAAATCATTTTATATGAAAAATGGTGTAGAATTAAAAAATAAAAATCATATTTAAAAACTATATCATAAGATTTACAAGACTTGTGGTGTCATAACTATACTGTTTTATCAAATGACTAACGAAAATAGAGAAAGAAAGTGAACGAAGTTTATCCTCGTGAATAGTAAAAAGGCGATTTAATTTGGAACGGAGATAGTAACTAATAATTGGAAGGATAGTACAAATGCCTCCAACCCTTCACTTAAACGAATCCGAATAGTAGCTAATATATAGTCCTATATTGCACTGTCTCGCTCTTTACTCTCATTCTTTGCTTACACACTCATACCCAGCCTCTCAGTCAGTCTACGCTCTTTACTCTCATTCTTTGCTTACACACTCATACCCAGCCTCTCAGTCAGTCTACTCGATGGTTTTTTACCATAAAGAAATATAATAATTTCTAAAATTTACTCAAGAAAATAGCTATGTATTTGACTAGTAGAAAACCACAAACATAGACAAACCTTTCTCCTAGTACACTATGTTTGGTTGGTGAAAGTTTGAAAGAAAAGAAACATTTTTTTCTTTTTCCTTACCAAAATGGAAGAGTTGTTTTCCCATTTCTTAGTTTGTTCTCTCATTCTTTTCTTCACTTTTCTTTTTTTATTCTCTAACCAAACAAGACAAATTATTTTTCATACCATTTTTTTTCCTTTTTAATTTCTTGAAGTGGTTATACCATAAAATAAAAAAATAAAAACAGAGAGTGCTTATGATCCAGCCAATGAAAAGTTCTCTATAGACATGTCATGTAATATGCGATGAAAACTTTGTAGTGACACATTTATGAATAAGTCAAATCTTCATGTCATTAAAAATGCAGTACCGTAATAAAAAATGCACCATGACAAACAAAAAAAATATCATTCTCATTTTTCTCAATAATGGTCATTCCCACCGAAACCGGACTACAACAAATTAGATTATCTATATTTCAAATGTTACTTGTATTTTTTAAAAATATGAATATTTATAATCCCATGTATTAAAAATTCTTTTAAATTACTACATACGGAGTATCAAATATACAAGAGATGTTGAAATGATTTCAACACAAACACCATTTAACTCTCGTATAAAACTATGGTTTCTATTTCTTATTCTTAACATGGCTATTTACATGTGGCATACAAATGGACCAATCAAAAGAAATCTTATCCAGAGGTTAGTAAATGTGGCATGACACAAGAAAAAGATTATTTATACTCAGGATTTTCTCACATGGCTATTTTGATTGTTATTCTTCTTCATCCAAACTGTGGATCGCGTTCTCTTAAAATGCTCTGTGAATAGTTGATACCTACAATGAAACAGAACACTAAATAGTTAGGAAGCACATATCAAAACCAGCCCAACCATAAAATAATTAGGAGAGTAACATGTAAGTTTATTTTATATTCAAATAATAATAATAATAATAATACTTATTATTATTATTATAATTATTATTATACGTGATAATAATAAAAATGGCGATACAAATACGGAGTAACACTCCGTAACAGATATGGGGAGAAAGGTATAAAATGACCAATGGAGTTGCAAGGTAAAATGTACACAAAACTAAATCCTGATCTAATTATAGTTTACTGTAAAACGTCAGTTGATAAACAAAAACATTATTCATTGTGAATTGCCATCCTATTTTCATCTTTCATTCCCTTTTGTTAATATGTCTTGAATCTGTATTGTTTGCTGCTACGCAAATGAGGAAACATGGGTCTCGCTGCTACGTTATTATATTGGGCTCTAATTGTTGTATTGGGCCTAGCCCGTCTTGTGTGCCTATTTATATAGAGGTAGGCCACAAAAACTCTGTACTCTGGAACCACTGTCATAATATAATCCGCCTCCGTTCTTGCCTGTGGAAGTAGCCAACACAACGTTGGCGAACCATGTTAAATCTGTGTCTTTACGTTTTCTGTTTGCTTCGATTAGTCCATTACTCTAGTCCGTAATAACACCTTTTAAATCTTTAATATTCTGAGAACTTATGCCATTGGTTGTCTTTGAAAGACAAAAAAGTTGACAGCACAGATTATATAAAACTGAAAATCCATAGAGTACGAAATACAGATATATCATAGAAATTCACAATGAATTATTGTTTCTTTCATTAGTATATAGAAATTAGCTTTGTCTTTTGTGCTTGAGCCAAAAGCCTATGGAAGCAGCGTCTCTACCTTTTCTAGGTCTGGGTACACCCCTCCCTCCCCGGTCCCCATTTGTGGGATTTTACTAGGTTGGTTGTTCTACATTTCTACTAGGTGTGGGGTTTTACTAGGCTGGTTGTAATATACTACGTAAAAAAAATTTGACAATTTAACTATTTGTTTATGGATTTGATCATATAAATAAAGAACAATGGATTTTGAAGTGTCAATCTTATTAACGGGGTTTCTTACAATCATATAAATTAAAGTTGTATTACTTAAAAATAGAGGTTGAAAGAATTTCTAATTTAAGTCAAAATTTTCTTCTGAGGGAGCTAAACATCATACTCCGTATTATTCCAGGACTGAAAGTGGTGAGGCTAATAACTTAGGGACTACATCCACTATTTCCCTATATTTAAGGGGACTAAAACTAAAAGTGCTATTTTGTTTTATGAAAAATATAGAAACCTAGAAAGATGGTGGGTTGTGGCAACAACAATATAAAAAAACCAAACAAATAAATTGAGAAATACAAATGGAGTATAAACCTTTCATACTCCAGTTTCTGAGTAACTATTCCATTTAGTAGAAGCTCCGAACTATAAACTGGTATTCCTGCATGTACAAAGAGATAGCTAGTTATAATAAAGTACTGTGAAGGAAAAAAAGGTTATGCATAAGTACATGAATAAGATACCCAACCTTTCTCAAGGAAAGGTACACAGAGATCGTAGTCATCTTCACAAGACAAGATTAAAATATCATCTGCCGATGTCACATCCTTCCTAGCAGATCTTCCACATCTCTCAATTGGCTGGGAACATTTTTACAAAAAGCATTTCATTCGTGTGGAAAATGAATGGCAAATGTCAAGGGTAATGGGACAAGCAATCATTGTGATATGAATCGGATAGGAGAACATACCAAACCGTGAACAGCCTTCACCAGACCATTTAATATTCCAGTACCAGGCTTAGTATTTGGGGTGATAAAGACTCTAAATTCCTGCAGATAAACAGCAAAAAAGTAATCTTAAGTGTCTGTGCCTAATCATAACACAAATATCTTTTCATCACTACCTGTAAAAGTGGATGTTGCCTTGCTCTTGCCAATGAAATTGGCATGCTAAAGCCAAACTCCTTTTCCTTTTTCACATCTCTCAGTATATGATTCTTCTCATCTATAAGACAGCTAGCTTGTGCACAACTCTCAAGCCATAAGTGTGTAACCACTGGTTTCCCAAAAGCAATAGCTTCCAAAATATTTCTTGTACGTACAAATTCATCTGTTACAAAATGAGTAGCGTCTGACATAGAGGATGCAAGTGAAGCCCCCAAGCGAGTCAATATCTTCAAGAAAAATCATTACATGGATAATGTAAGTTCAGAAAAATATGTTAGATTGGAGAAAAATAATCACATCCTTGTTACCTTCTTTTGCTGTTTGGTTATGTCATGATCAAGGTGGCGGCTGAACAAGACTCGGACATTTGTCATATCTCTCCGCCTCCTTGAATCCTTGACATTCATGGGTACTCCATCACTTTGTAAGGAATTCAGTTCTCTAATAAGAGAGGATCTCAACGCACTACTGCGGCATGATCGCTTATGATACTCGTCACCCGCACATATAGGCGATGCCTCAATCCTAGGTGTCATACAATTAACAGGAGTGGTACTTGGAGAGGTTGATGTTTTGGGTTGATACTTCGGTGAGGCGTCCACTTCATTTGCTTTACACACATCCTTAGTTTTTTGGCATTGCACATCACGATTTTTACTGCATTTTTTAGGAGCCTTTCCATTGAGTATAATACCTGGAACTGAAATGCCACCTGCATCAGCTGCGCCATTATTAGAAGCATCCTCTTCATGGACACTCTGCGAACACTCTAGGACACTTTCTTCAGCAATACGTATTTTCTTTCTTTTACTCATATACACAGGAGCTCCCCCGTCGGTAATCGATCTGCTTGGTCTCATATTAGACTGGTCATTGTTTTCTTGTAGCATTGATGCCCGCGTTCGACGAGTTCTTATTCCTTTGGGATGGATCATTTGACCAATCTTACTCACAGATAAATCCATATTTCCAAGTTTAGAAGCGAATCTCTTTTTGGTACTGGTGTTACAGGATCCATCATCGGGCAGACTTTTATTAGAATTAAAAGCACCTTCTTCACCATTTATCTCCTTTGTCATGTTATTTGGGATGTTTCTAGTACAATTCTGTTGATTCATTACAAAGTGCTGCCTTGTTCTATGAGCAACAGGTGTCGGTGAGTTGCTAAGCTCATGAAATGGTCTCTTCTTTAAAGACATAGAGCTGTTAGATGGGGTATCAAGGCCTCTATTAATCCCAAATTTTTTGCTGGCTCCGAAAGCACTTTCTTCCTTCCTTTCTGCAGCTTGAATTTGCTTTGCAGCATCATGTAATCTAACATTTGACCTAGTGCTCTTTGTTTCTAGTAATTTTCCATCACATTGCTTCTTGGGATTTTCAGCAATTTTAACTGTTGTAGCAACCCTTTGTTCAGCTTTCAAGGATTGTCGTGTGGCAGGTCGAGTAGAACAGGATCCATTATTTTGAGAACTTTGTCTCAGCTGTGACTCATGATTCACTCCACTTTTGAATGAACTGTTTTTTATGTTTGCAGTGATAGATCCTTCTTCAATCAAGGAAGAACCGAAGCACAATGAGTGCATAGCTTCTGCAGCCATTTGAGTATCAATACCCACATCTGTCGTGTGAACGTCATCATTGCCAGTTTTATTTTCTTCTACTTCATCATCAAACATATCAATCAAATTCTTGTTAAGCTCTTTCAGAAACTTACCTCTGGATTTTGGCTTTTCAGTCATAGTATTTGATTTCTTGCTATTTGATTTCACTTTAGTATCTTTCTTTTTGCACGATTCTGAAATCTCTACTGTGCATTCACAGTTACCAACTACTCTTTTTTGGTCAGTGTTAAGTCGCATAGGCTTCCGTCGAGACGTGGAGATTTTGTTATCAAAAAGAAGTTCCTTATTCTTTTGAAAAAACTCCCCACCACCATCATCCTCGCAGTTATCGTCCCAATCAAAAATACTATCTACTTCATGCCTGCTTCCAGTGGCTGCCACAATCAACCTCTTTGTCCGTTTTGCACTTGGCACAGACTTTGTTTTTTCAACAGATGACTTTCCCATTTCAATGTCTTCATCATCCTGAACTCCATTAAACTTGAGAAATCTGTCAACAACATCAAATGCTTTAGCCTGTGATTCATCTCCAGGTTCTTGAGAATCAATGTAACTTAACCCAGCCAATAAATTTTCTGAAGTAAACATCTGAGGCAAATCTGCTACATTGTTAGCATCAGCATTTCCATGCTCTGCATATTCCATATCATCCACAGTATCTTCTGTGAAAAGTTTCCTTGCAGCTGAGCTACCAGATTTGCACCTATTTTCAGTCCCTAGAACTTTACTGAGTTCAACATTATCCTCACAACCATGTGTGTTGTTAACTTTCCTCTTAGCGTTTTCCTCAACAAATGGCATGTCTTGCATAGTCCGTATCAACTCTAATGAACTGTTTCTCTTATTGGAATCACCGTCGGACCTACTATGAGCCAATCCCTTGGCAGCCAAACCAGAGGACCTTAAAGATGCAATACGAATAGAAGTAAAGCCACAATGCACAGGTCCTGAAACATAATAATGCATTAAAGACATGATGAAGACACGGGCTCTCGTTGAAACTTGTGTTAAGTGACAACATATGAAGGATTACATATTAGGAAACACCGAGAGTGAGGTTATCTTAGTTTATACTAAAAGTAGAGTACTCCAATCAATAACCAACTTTTCACTATTTTCAATTCTCAAATATGTGCTTTGTGTACTACTACCTTACCAACCAAAACAACCTGACAAAAACGCAGTAGCTATTACTTACACTTGGTAATATTAGACTATATTTCACTATGTGTGTTATCGGATACAAATCTTAGTCGGAGGAAAATATATTTAGTTTAATCTAATTCCAATAGTGTGACTTAGTCAAAATTAATCATCAATTCATTAACTTAGATATCTTATTTAATTGTTTTAGGAGTTGGTTGAGAAATAAGCAGATCATAATCTTGAGTAGGCTTGTTTTGAATTAATTTCCTAGGTTGTAGGGATTTATTATATTATTTCTGTTCTATTTCATTCTTACAGAAAATATCCTAGCCCCTCAAAAATAAAATTATTTGTATTTTCATTGGGAGATTCTCCATTGTTGGCATCTAGAGGTTATTCAAGAGAGGTCCTTCCTTGAATAATTTTAGAAGAATTATCCTACTCCATCTCTCCCACTATCGACCTCTTTTTACCATTTTTGTATGTCATGCTATCTTTATATCATTCTATATTTGTCATATTTGTGTGGTCCAAAACCATCCTTAATTTATCCGTACTTTACATATTTATAATCAACCGCACACTTTCAGTTTTTCTGCGTGCCGCCATCATTTGTTCCCAACTTAGTGGGCAGAGGGAGTATTTTTTTCTTATTTCATTTTTGGAATTGGCTACCTACCATTATCAATGACAAATCTACTTCTGCCTTCAATGTAACAAGGAAATGTAAACTTTACCAAATAAACACATGTCCAAAGAAAACCATAAAGAATATGAGTTTGAAAGAGAATGAAAATCTCCTGTAGGAGAAACATGTTCCTTCATATAGATTACCTGAATGACACTTCATGTTACTCAGAACATCTGATTGAACCTCAAGACATCTGTCAGCCTCTTCATCAGGTCTAGTCTTTTGAAAGTCCAGCTGGCTCATAGAAATAGCAGTATTATCTGATATCTCTTGAGTTTCACAAATGACCTCAGTCCTATCACTTCCTTCACAATCACTATCACTTGTGACTTCAAAGTTCCACTCATCTAACACCTGAGTATGCATATGCTCCACACCATCATGGTCATAAACCACTTGTGTTTCACCTTCAATCTCAACCTCATGGGGATTCCCGGAAAAATCTAATAATTGGGTATCCCCATAAAGATCCACTGGTTGAGTCTCAAAATCATTACCGCATTGAAGGAGATCATCAACAGGCATTGTGTTCATTAGCCATTTATGATCCTTCTCACCTTGGATATTACCGCCTAATCAAGCAAGAGTAACTTATTTGAGTATTTCAAATGTAACATAGAAGATGTTTTTTGTGAGTTTTAATTTGGCATGTTGAAACACATACACAAACTTCAGGAATCACTGTATACTTGCTAATTCGCTGCAAGTGCTGGAAATTAAATACTCCAATAATAATAATAATAACAACAACAACAACAACAATAAAAATAATAACAAATCAATAATAATAACAGTAAAAATAATAATGACAATAGATGCTTTGTCACCAATGTTTTCGAAAAAATGGGGTAGATCATTTAAGGAATCGAGACTACATGAGCATTTTTTAAATAAAATATTAAAAAAATATTTTTTCACTTTGTAATTTCACTCCATGAAAAAAACATTACAATATTGAACGTTTTTAAAGAACATACAAGATCTTTACATAACAATGACTACTTCACTATGTGATAGTGCTCTTTGTATTCCATATAATACAATGAAAATGCATGGATGCATCTCACCCTCCTTCAAGACCAAACAAATGATTAATTCTCACATTGGATACATAAAAATATAACCTTAACCTGAATTTTTTGTCCTTCAATACGAGCTTTGATGATACAGAATGAATAATGGGACCCAACACGGGTTCCCGACTTTAAATAATAATAAAATACTACGTAATGTTTTAGGTATTCTTTTCACGTACAGAATACCCATTATAGACAAACCTCAATCTACTTTTTATGTGTGTATTCTATTTACTAATAGATTATAATTCTCACAAAGATCATATTGCTTTGTTACACCTCATAACATTTAGAAAAACACATAAATGCATTTCTCCATCCTTTCAAAACTTAAAAAAAATGTCACTAGGCACTAGCTATGTAAAAATATCAACTTTACAAGATTTTTCCACTTTTCGGCCGCAACCTTTTATAAATATGATAGAGGAACATGAGTTTCCACTTTGAAATTTCAAACAAAAAAAGGTTTATTTTTGAATTCATCCCATTACAGAAAAATATTGGATTTACTTGCAAATTATAGTTCTCACATGCAACTTGCCAGTATTACACAAGTCTAACGGACTCCATATCACTTCTCCCAATAGACCAGATCATCCAAATCGCCACAATCACGAAAAAGTTAAACGGCCCAAAAAGAATTAAACTAGGCCAAAAAATTCATACCTTTTGTGAAAAATGGACTATCAACAGGCTGCGTTTCATCATCAGTCAAATCAGCATCTGAATAACTCGCATTCGGCAGGTCTTCATCGTTCTTTCCTCTGGATTGAGTCATCGTAACATCCACAGTCCTTCAATGAATTTAACGATAAGGAAAATCCCGACAAAATCCCTAACGATTCCGAATAGAATTATTTCAAACAGAAGGGGAAAAAAATAGTACAATGCTCATTCACTCTATAAATATTAAAATCCCGACGAAAATTCCATTAATCGATTCGAAATTCACTCGCAGGGTCAGCAGAGTGAACGAACAGTTGGGAAGAGTCAGAAAGTGGTGCCAAAGGCGTAGCAGGCTCGATGTAGGGTTTGATGAATTGGAGGGAAAATGGCATTGATTGGAGGGAAATTTTGTGTCCTTTACAGTCGCTGTTATTGCCTTTCGTATATACGCTTAGTCTTTTGCTAACCAAATTCTATTTTTAACACCGAATTTTGTTCCTGCAAACTCAAACTTTTTTATACCAAAACGATGGGTATTCCAATTTTGACAAACTAACTCTCAAGCATGTCCCAATTTAAAATATATTTTGAGATACTTTCTGTTTTAAAAAACTAACTACTGATACCTCACATTTTTAAAATATAATCTGAGTATCTCCAAATATACATTAACTTACCTGTGAGAGACATTTCGTCTCACTCTCCGTCAAAGCCTGTTACACCATTGATTTTAAAGAGTTTGGAATTCCAAAAATAACCTTGGTTCTTATACTTTACGGATACGATCTATCCAGTTTAATCGAAGCTCTCGAATGAAATGAAATGTCCCTCACGGATAAGTTAATATACATTTGGAAGTATCCTGGACTCCTGGAGTATATTTTAAAAATGTGAGTTACTCTGTAGTTAATTTATCAAAATAAAGTGTACCCCGGAGAATATTTTAAAAATTTAAGGTACGCGGCAGTTAGTTTCTCAAAATAAGGGGTACCAAGGCGCAATTTTCTGCATTTTTACGATCGGATGACTTTTTTGGGCAGCGGGTCATGATTTAGAGGTTGTTTGGGAGTGATTGAAAAAAGCTTTTGAGTTTCGACTTTATTGAAACACAATTATAAGTGTTTTTCAATCTACTTTAGATTATGGATTGTGGTTTTAGAAATGTAAATTATACTCTAAAAGTAAGTTTCACCAAAGCTCGGAGTAACTGCTTTCTACTTTTGATTTAGCGCATCTGCTTTTTCAAGACTCACCGCACTCACAAACACCCTCTTAGTGGGTGTTTCTCTGTGCTTATAAACTGGTCAAAAGTGCTTATAAGTTGTCTCTAACTTATATGTCTGCAGATGATGTTTTCTCTGTGCTTATAAGCTTACTTATAAGGTGCTTATAAACCAGAAAAAATAAGAGAGTGTTTGGCAATGCGTTGGTTTTCAGAATTTTGCTTTTGCTTTAAGTGGTAATCATTTTATTTTGTTTGGCATACGAGCTTCTGTTTTTCTTCACCATCATTTTCTACATAGAACACCATTTCAGAGAAGCAGACATATGGTGCTTCTGCTTTCATCTTTTCTGAAAATTGCTTACCCACAAGTTAGTCAGTCTCAAATACCCTCTTACTTATTTTTTAAGCCAGTTTTTTCGTTTATCCATTTTGACCAGATTACTTACAAAACTATTCCTCACATATTATTAGTATCCTCAAATGACTTCTATATATCATTTATGTCATTTTATCAACATGAAACATTTTTTAACTGATAATGTAACGCCCCAAAACATACCCTAGAATTATTAATGAATAATTATTCAATTAATCAAAATTTTTTTTATTAAAAAAAATTATTGTTGAGCTTTGGGCCGATACGAAATTTGTTTTAATATCCAATATCAAAATCTGGATAAGTCTCATTGAGATAAATCCAATATGTTGACTATTTGTGTGGTCTTGATTGGGAACCTGAGTACAGACCAAAATCAAGAATAAATGAAGAAATTATTTATAATATGAACTTTAAAATAATTTATTGAAATAAATCATGAGAACAAATGATATGAATTAAATGTGAGAACCTTTTTGAATAAAGGTCAAATAAACCAATTTTGACTCTGTCAAAGTCAAACACTCAAAATATGATGTCGGAAAAAGTATTTCAAATAAATATAAAAATTATATAGTTAGATAGAATTCGATTGTCTGATCGCAATAGTGCAAACGGATTTCAATTTTGAGAAAGTTGGACCAAAAAGTGTACCCCGATTGGAACCAAATGATTTGATTATGAATTTAGATTCAGTTTATATGGATGTTCGACGCATTAGATATGCTTACTCAGCTTTACCGCTGAGCGTGTAGTGTGTTTTATTTGGTACACGCAGGTAAACAGAAAGAACAATGTGATCCTGGTGGCAGATGGGGCGAGATTGTCAGGATGGATGTGACAAGTTTGAAATGATTTATGATATGTCAATATTAAATTCGCTTCCGCAATATTGTTGAATACTCCGTACTCTATATGTTATGAAAAATATTATTGGGATTAATAAAGTGTGTTTGAAAAGTTTTAATTTTTGCGATTACCAAGTTAAATACTTTAGTCCGAAAGAGGCTACAGGCCTAGACGGATTAGGGTGTTATGGATAAGCATCTTATAAGTAAAAAAAACTATTTATAAGCAATAAGTCAATAAGCACCAACACAGAGAAACACCAACTTAGGCCCCGTTCCATTCAACTTATTTTTTCTTCTTTTTTCTTATTCTTATTAAAATCAGATCAGATCAGATCAGATTGAATCAAATCAGATCAGATCAGATCCAACCAGATCAGATCCCATCAAGAATTATTATTATTATTATTATTATTATTAAAAATGAAAAACAATAAACTTTAGAAACAAGTTAAATAGAATACTGAGAAAGTAATCCTCAATTATTAGACGTCAGAAAAATTATTTTTAAAATACATTGACAATGTCAGTCTAATTTTACTTTTAAAATACATTTTTATTGTTACCTATAATTTGTGTTTTTAAAGTTTTGATCTTTAACTACATCGAGTTGATCAACTTTGATCACGACTTAAATAAAATTAACATTTGATATTTATGTACAGAGTATATTTTATTGTAACAGAAATATCAATTATATCTATGGTGTTATATAAATCATAAAAATGTTTTGTACTACAAAGCACGCGCTAATATTTTATAAGGATGAGATATTTTAATAAAATTACTATCTCTTCTCTATATTGATTATCTAAATTTAATTACTTTTTAATGTATATATGAATTAAATATTTATTCTAATGTATATATGAACTAATAATTAAACTATTAAATCAAAATTCTTATTTCATAAAAAAAATAATCATAAAATAAAAAATATTATTACATTATAATAAGAATGACTATTCTAATATATAAATTAACTAATTTTATTTCATTAAAAAATAATCATAAAATAAAAAATATCGATTATATTATAATATGAATTATCATTATAATTTTCAAACGTTATTATAAAGTCAAATCAAATTATTGATTTGAATTTTAAATTAAATCATAGATAATCAGATTAGACCAGATCAGATCAGATCCAATCAGATCTGGTCATATCATATCAAATCAGGTCAGATCATATCGGATCCAATCAGATCAGATCAGATTAGAACTACAAAAAATTAGATCAGATCAGAAACAATAAGTTGAACGGAATGGAGGCTTAGTCTTTTTTGCAAGCTAATTCTAGAGGAAGGCGTTGGTCAAAAGACGTTCTCAGGATTGGACAAATAGGGTCAATTTTCCATCTCAAAAGGATGGTATTGTTGAGAGAAAACATAAAAACTTTCTTGAAACCTGTAGAGTCCTTTCTATACATTCCAATATTCCTCACAAATTTTGGGGTGAATGCGTACTAAGCCACTTATCTCATAAACAGGTTTCTGGCCTACTAAACTCTTACAAGAGAAATCTCCTTATGAAGTCCTTTTTGGAACCACACGTAAAAATGATCACCTAAAGGTTTTTTGTTGCCCATGTTATGTTTCCACTTAAAAACAAGGCAGACACAAGTTCCACAATGGCCTCATCACTCTCACACATGTTCCCACATCTAGTCAGCTTGCTGACTTCTTTACCAAGAGTCTTCTTGGAGTCCTACATCACAAGCATCTTTCCAAGTCACGGGTTCATCCACCTCCAACTTGAGGGGGCATTGGAATAGCATTAGCTCAAATTCTCTACTCCCTCCGTCCTAAAATTAATTTCTCATTTGACTTTTCTCGGTCTCCAATGCGACACTTTAATCATCAATATATCAATTTTTATATAAATATATTTTATAAAAATTATATATTTCAAAACTATATTCCAAAATGAATCTATTGCCAATAAATTTATATGAAAATTCAATGTATTTTTCCCTTAATATACAGTCAAAGTTTAAAAAGTTTGACTGCAAAAGTCAAACTGAGAAGTTAATTTTAGAAAGGAGAGAGTATTATTCAATTTGTTACAAGTTGTTCCAATTAGATCTGAAACTTATCATGTCTAAATCGATTAAACACAAAATCGATAAGATCCGAAACTGATAATACCCAAAACTGATAAAACGCGAAACTGATTAGATCTGAAACCGATAATATCTGAACCCGATTAGAACTAAAACTGATAAAATGTGAAACATTGTTTGCCTTTCAATAAGCATATTATATTTTTAAATTTTTAATTTTATTTTACCATTTGAACTAATTAAATTATTTGCTCATTCGTCATAAAATATATTACCATCTTTATAAAATTGCAAAATCTCATGCCTTAAATTTATTATATTTAGAAATTGAACAGAAGTTATACATATAAAATATTGGATGAATAAAATGAGACAACTATTTTGTTATTAGCAAAATTAAAGGGAATAAAATATTTGAAAAACGAGATGAAGCATCACTTGAAAAAAATTAGGTCTAAGAGTTGAAGGTGAGTGAGAATTCAGAAATGGGTTGAATGGTGGCGAATGAAGAGTGATAAAATTGAGGGAAAGTAAGAAAGAATGGGGAAAAATTTTGAACTTTAGGAGGAAAGATTAGACATGAAAACGTAAAGTCTCCAATTCAATATTATATTAAAAATACAGTACAGATTTCAGTTTTAAGTTACAAAACCTAATTATAACAATCTTATTTTGAAAAAACTCCCTCCATCTCAGAAAGAATCCTACATAGAGCAAAACAAAGCAAAATTTTAAGTTTTTTAAATTTAGTTTATTTAAAGATTGGTATAAAAATAAAAAAATGTTTACATATTTAAAAACATATGTCAAAAGGTTTACAAAAGAAGACGTTACAAGAATAATAGTTTATTGTGTCAAATAATCAATGATAACACACAAATAATTAAAATTTTCGTAATTTTTAAATAGTGAACTGTGATATTCTTTTTGGGACGAAAGGATTGTATGATGAATTGTATGGAAAAATTAGATTTTATCCTAATTTCATCCCATTACAATAAATTTTATTTGTTTGTGAGTTAATTTGATTAGTTTCAAACCAATTCACTCAGTATTACTCAATAACGTTAGATGTTGGTGTTAGTATTTTGAAAAGGCTCTCTAGCGGCGGCATTTAGTGTTATCATTTTCAAATCTGATCTACACCATTAAATTTAGGTGCAAAATTAATTATATTTGACTCCATTAAATTTAATTTTTTCTATTTTCAACCAAATATGCTCAAATAGATTATAAGTTTTGCGCCCAATTGAACAGAATTCACTTAATTTTACCTAATTTCACTTAATTTTAACCAAATTGTATCCAATTAGAGTGCAACACTATTTGAATTTATCTTGTCTTTGCATTTATAAACATAAATGTATTTATAGATGTGAAAAAATTGATAGTTAAAATTTAAATTTTAAAATCAATTTAATTATATTAAATTTATATCATAATTAAATATACATTTTTCATCATTTGTAATCCAAATTTGTAAAATATGACTAAAAAGTCAAAAAAGGAAGATTATTTAGGGTGGAGATAGTATAATTAGAAAAAATATAAAATAATATGAGGTGTTGATTTGATGATAGATTGATAAATGTGATAAAACATAAAAAACATGGATAAGTAAATTTTCATTAGAATATAATATACATCCAAAATATATTTGATTGAAATATATTCGAACTAAAACACATCCAAAACTGAAATATATCCGAACAGAACTAGATCCGAAACCAAAATATATCCGATCCAAATTCTATTTGAACCGAAATCTATCTGAACCGATTTATATCTGAACTGTATTTGAACTAACTCGAAACCTAACCGAAACTGAAAAATATATAGAACCGAATCAAATCCGAACCAACCATTTATAATATATGGAGTATATCTGAACCAAAAAAATCCAATCCAGAATCAATCTGGTTGACCTGATTGCCACCTCTAATCATAGGTCATATAGTATTAGTTACAACAAGCTATAAAAATTGTTGAAAACAAGCAATAAACATAATTCTAAGCAACTAGTGATCATATAGTATTAGTTACAACAAGCTATAAAAATTGTTAAAAACAAGCAATAAACATAATTCTAAGCAACTAGTAACCTACTTTCGACTCGAGCTGGATGAGTTTAAGGGCCTATATAGTAACAGCTTCATCGTTTGGTAAATGTTACTCCGTATATAATAGCAACCTTTAGTTTTAACTCTTTCAAAGTAATTCTACGCCTAAAATCGCTACAGAAAAAGTGCTTGTTTAAACAAAAAATGTCAATACCAAATGCTACAATTAGAAATATATGTAGGGAACACGCCTAGTTGCATCTCGTTGCGGCATTGGGGAATATCATCTACCAATTGGCCACCCGCCATTCAAAATAAGCGAACCAATTTATAAGGCATCATTTCCTCTCCATCATGGACCTATTTGGAAATAGCGTTAGAGATTAACGTTAACGTTTTAGATAAAAATTTAACGGTGCAGATTACTTTGAAAATGCCAATGCTAAACGATGTCGGTAGATAGCTTTTTCAAAACACTAACACTCTCTAACGCTATTTCCAAACAAGTCCCATATCATTCGCTCGCGCTTCTCGAAATTGATAATAGATTCCAAAAGGATGAGAATTCAAAATCATGAAAAACAGATCTAACCGTAATATTAGAACAAATCTAAGAAGCAGCGCAGAATATTACTTCAAGAACCAAGAGAGAAAGAATCAAAAAAGATACTGGTGCCATTATTCCAAACCAAATTTTGGATACAGTAGGATTTCACGAGCATAAATAAACACGATCAAAACTAGAATGATTATTTTATTTTGGACAGTGATGGAGATTTCAAAGGAGAAATGTGAGTAACAGATGCTGCATCACAGCAATTACATACAATATCTCGTACCCGGCACGGGTCTGATTCCAACCCTGAATCTCCCCCATGGTCATATGCATCCTCCATTTTTAAAATCTCAATCGAGCTTGACATTAGAATAGAGAAGTGTGTCCCTTGTGAGAGACATATTGAGAAGGAAGTATATCTGCAAAAAAGGATAGCATAAGTAGAAATTAGAAAAGCGTGTCCTAACTCATGTTGTCCACCTAGTGTTGTTATGTGAAAGACTGGCTCAAACTAGACTCGGCTTGCTAAGGCTCAATTTTATACTCGATTCACAAACTAGTCGAGCTCAAGCTTGATTTGGTTCGTAACATGCCTAGATAAGCACATCTTGAAAACTCGACCAGGACACGCAAATAAAGCATAGTTGTCATTTTAACTCTAATGATTAGTACTCCCATGTGTCTCAAGAGCTCAAATTGACACAATAAGGTTCTCAGCTCGAGCTTAAATCAAGTCGAGTCCGAGCTCGGTTCTAAGATCAAAACTTTAAGAAATCAAGCTCAAATATGTGGTACTCAGCTTGACTCAGCTCGAATAACAGTACTGTACCCACCAATACATGTTTTTACTTGGAGGAACAATGCACAACATCACTGTGGCCATAGGTGTTGACAATCAGCATATGGTGACAATATGAACGAAGCTAATTGTCAAGAACGTTGTAATAAAAGAGTGAGAGCTTCTTAGAAAGACGTACCCCTAAAAGAGTTGCAATTATTAGCATAATTCCAGTGGTCCATGCTACTGTTCTTCTAACCATTAGCTGAGCTGCAATAACAGTAGCATTTTGCAAGGAATTTGTTTCCACCAGCCAGCGTGCAGACTGTCGGGAATCATGGATCACATTCAGCATCGGTTCAGAGGCTGAGTTGTAGACAACTACTCCAACGATTTCACCTGTTTGGTTACAAAACATAGACATGTAAGGTCAGAGGAAAAACTTAAATAATAACTAAAGACATATCAGCGAACTGCGCCTATGTGCAAATGCACACATAAAATTTGTGTGAGCGTGTATTATATAATAACAATTATTGAGGTTTTGAAGTACAAAGCATCTCCAATCTCCATGCAAGAAATGACTATTGATTACAAAAGGTTGGTGAATATGGAATAGTCAAAGGCTAGCATATAAGTCTCTTGCCACATTTTCACAATCACAAGAGCAAGTGTAACCTTTATAAGCATTGCGTAACGAAACAAATATCTTCGAAATTACATGAACAGACAGTCTCATAGCTTGTTCAACATTTTCTGTCCCGTGCTTATTTGTCATTTCCTGCACAGCAAAATAGATACACAAAGGCTTTTAGGAAGTGTATATACATGTAATCTCAAACAGTGAATATGAAATATATGCATGCATATAATATACTCTTGTAATAATAATAATAACACGGAGTAATTACTATTATTTGATGATTTAATTGTCAAATAAATTTAACAAATACTCCCCCTCCATTTCAACCTAAACTGAAAATTTGACTAGGCGGAGTTTAAGAAAAGTGTTGAAAAGAAAGAAAAAGGTGGTTGAAATTAGTTTTAAAATGAAATAATGTAGGCCACATATTCTTTTCCATAAAAAGAAAAAAGTGAAGTGTAAAAATTATTTTTGAGATTGATGGAAAAGGAAAGCATAAAGTTGATTGTGAGATGCGGGAGGAAAAAGTTACAACCATAATTTCCAACATGCTAGAAAGGGGTTTGGTAGAGCCTACTACAATAAAGGAAACTGATATATTCCATACAGCAGCTCAAACTCATTAAATACTACGTAAATGTCTAAAGAAATTCCAAATTTTTAGATATTGCATAAAAAAGAACTATATCTGTAACCTGAATGGCGCCAAATCTTGCAACAATTAGCTCAGGTTTATTGTTTTTACTTCCAAACAAATCGTGATGGAGCTCCATGGCCTTATGACAATCATGGGACAGTGAAATAAGGCTTTTTATAAATTCTCTTACAGCTTTCTGTATATGAAAAAGAAAGGACCCTTAGTGACAGTACTTGAGAGATAACCAGTAGCTAGTAATTATGAAAGCCTGCTATAAAATTTCTGTAGATACCTTTGATAGATCAAATCTCAACTCATCTTCATTCTCCAGTGGTACAATAAGTGCCTCAGTAAACTGTTCTTTCGCAACATTTACATATGAGCCATGCAGCCATGATGCCTAAACAAAGTTTCAAATACAGATAGTAACCCAGGAAATGGAAGTCTTGAAAATGAAAATATAAAACCTCTAGGTAATAGTAATAACCGACAAAGTCAATCAGTTCTTTTTCAGATAGTTCATTCTCTGAATCCAAACTCAAGGGTTCATTCAATGTCAGCACAGATACACTTTCCTCCCCTGAAACGTATAAATGTTATTAAAGTTAAAAACATTAGTACATGGCAGAAATCATGCAACAAGGCTTATCCTTTTGGTACAAGAATTTGAGATGGACAACTACCTGGAAGATGAATGTTAGTATTTGTACTCCAAATAACGTCTCTCTTGTGAGTGACACTAAACTCCTCTGAGCCAACCAAAAAATGTGATCCTACACAACACACACAAAAATATGGAAAGACGGTGAGATGAGAGAATACATGTGTTCATGCTCTACACACATTTACACACAGTACAGCATTCATTTTTTTCAACAAGTGCATGAGAATACATGTGTTCATGCTCTACACACACATTTACACACATTACAGCATTCATTTTTTTTCAAAAAGTGCATAAAGACATCAATCATGTGAAAACAATAAAGATTTCATGTTACTACACCTTCAGCTCCTGTGACTTCTAGCAAAAGAACAGCACGAGGCCTATCAAATGGATTAGGTGCAAGAACCTCATTCAACTGCCAATTATTAAATCACAAAAGAATAAAAATAATAAGGAAAACAAAATTTATACACGAACATGCAATAATTTTTCTTGAAGACTTTACATATGGATTTCCCTTACTACCTTAGATGAACTCTTAGTAGAAAGGGTGGCTGGAGGTGAAAATCCCAATAAGACTGATACAGCAGCACCGACTTCTGGAAGTGACATCGAAGAAGTCTAAACAGGAAAATGAAGACAATTTACTACAGAAGAAATTAGGCTCAGCATTCTGTATTGAAAGTAAAATCACATACATACACTGGCCATTGTTTAATCTTTTATCGAATAATTCAACTCAACACTCAACTACATTCACTATTCAGGAACACAGGTCCATCTATAATTCTATGAACTCTAAAATTCTAATGATTATGCAATTGTACCGTCATTGACTACCGGTAGTTGAAATCAAGACAAAAAGACTCTATAGCAGGTCTGAGTAGAATGTCAACACCACAAAGACATGTCATCTCAAGTTCTGTAGATCTTTTGATGTAGTTTTTTAATACTTACTCCGTCCCATAAAGTTGTTCTCATTTTGACTTTTTTAAGAAATTTAAGAGAGAAATTTTTGTATTGACTTTCCAAAAATACATTTGATGCGATGGGTAAAAGTAGGATGTGATGAGTAGATTATTAGTAAAAAGATATGATGTGATAGGTGTGGTAAGAATTAAATAGGGGTAAAAGTAGTTTTTTAATGGAAAAGGGAAAGACTTTGTGGGACACATAAATAAAGAATGGACTTTTTAGGACGGAGGGAGTATAGAATTTTCATTTTTTGACCAATTTTCATATAAAATATATCAAAAATAACTTTAGTCGAACATCGTAACGTGCAGCAACGGGAAAAATTTGTGGACGGAGGGGGTATTAATTAGATTCAAGCACATAAGAGACTAATTATATCGTCACTTAATCGAAATCCTTTTGTCATGGAGTGTGGTCGTGTGTTCCATTCTTGAAAATATAAATGGTTCAAAAGCTAGTTATCACACATTCACACACTAACCTACTAAACCGTCAAAGTTGTTTCAATTTCCTTTTAGTTTCAATGACAGAGGCTGGGGGCAGGAGGGGGGAGGGGGTAATTAAAGATAATTGCATAGTATGCTTTGAGAAGTCAAGATGGTAGCCAACTAAAGATAGGTCTAAGTAAAACAGGAACTGGTGGCCAAAGGAACTTTAAACTGTTAATACTAAGCAATCAACTTTAAGATGCTCCTTGTAATGAACTAAGTAGAGCACGTTAAGCAACACCTCAACTTAATTCTCTATAAAAACCTGTATACCATAAGAATTGAAGTTTATGATATCTAGATTCCTACAACCCTTAGCCTTTCAAAATTGAAAACCTTTTAAATAATTCTTAATCAACAAAATATGCTTTCCAGGAATGTTGTCATTCAGATAGGTGATCACAATGCTCTATTAGATAGTAAGAAAATTGATTCAAGCTATGATTACTGTAAAAAAGACAACCCTAAATGTTGATACAACGATTACCTCATCAGATGAAGAAGGGCGAACATACCGCTGATCGGGACTATCGAGGAAGAAAACCCCCGAGGCTCCATCGATAATCTGGACCAGAGGAAAAACAAACACAATCCTGTTAGCTTGATCTAAAACTACATCTCAGCAATTATGTATGAAGAGACATAGAGTGAGAGATACAGTGGTGTGGAGAGATAGAAGAGAGATGATGATTAGGTAGCTCAAAGAGGAGCGAGTGTTCCCAGCCATTGCAGATGGAAATTGTTCTGATCGGATCTGTGGTTTCTTGAGATTGTTAAGAGGCAGTGGGCCCCCAAAGGTAGATACCCTGTTAGAGCCAGTTTGGGGCTAATCCAATCCGATTGCATAATCTAAACCGAATTTGTATTTTATATTTTCAGTATCACTAAAAAACCACTTCCCCAAAAGGATGAGTCTCATCCCGAGAACTCCTCAGACCGGGTTGAATGCTCACTGAGAAAAAACAAATTATACTTTGATTACATATTGGTAGCAAAGAGTGAAGCCTAGACATGGTATTTGCAGAGATCTTATGTTTAGCATACTTGCCTCCCAGTACAGTTGCAAGGAATCAGACTCGGGTCTTACCTCCTTGGCACTCCTTGTCTATGACTACGCAACATTCACCGACAAAAACTCACATTCCCCACTGCTTGCTGGTGGTACAGGAATGTGGTGATGGCCAAACGCAAGGACTTTTGGTGGTGATGGCAAAACGCTAGAACTTTTGGGAGTTAGTATATGGTGCCACCGACTGTACCAGAGGTAAGGTACAGCCGGGTAGTACTTACTTTGAAGTAAAGTAATATTCATTCTCACATAAACATATGTGTTCATTTTGAAATAAAGTCGTACTCACTCTGAAATAACGTAGTACTCATTTTGAAATAATGAAGTACTCATTTTCACACATTTGTTTAATATAATTATAATATTCATTTACGAATAACGTAGTGTTCATTCTTAAGCAAAGTGGTGCTCATTCAGAAATAACGTAGTGCTCATTCTTAACTAATCTACCATTCATTCTCTTCAAATTTAGAAATTATAATCCAATAGTCTAATTAAACATACATTACTCTCAATTATAGCATTGATCTTCATCATCATCGTCATCCTCATCTTCATCAACCCCTTCATGGTTGTCACTGCTGCAAACCTCTATTAGGCATCTTCTTCCACAATCCATGCAGCTAGCTAGGGTTCATCATCTTCAGTCATGATCCACTGTTTCATTGTCGTCGTCATCATCTTCTTCTTCCGCAATCCATGCCATCATGGTTAAAAATTCCTCAATACTCCCTTTGTTCTCCCATCAAAGCAGAGTTCACCATCAACATCGCGCTCCTCTGCTAATTTTCGCCGGCTATAGGATTCTTCAAGTACAGCCGACTCTAGGATATAATTTGTGGACTTTGGTGGCGAGGAGATTGAAAATAAACCAAAGTTTGGTTAGACCAGAGAGGCAATTAGAGAAATTAATATTACTTTTAGGAGGCAACATTTAGTAAGCAATCTTCCTATTCTAATTGATTACTCGCTCAGGTGGAATATGACTCAAGATTTTGAATAGACACTCAATATTGATGGGAGTTGCAAAACGTTCATTGACAAGGCAGGTATCGATGGTGTCCTTCAGAATAATAGAGATGAGTCGAAAGCAAGGGCGGATGCAATAAGGGATTATTGGGGACAATCTCCCCCACTCAATTCTCAAAATCTTGTAAAATAAGTGTAAAAAAGTTTTTTTCTAGTTTAAATGGAGTGGTGCCCCTAGTCCAATACACTAGTGCCCCCACTGAGCTAATGAGGTCAGTACACTCTTTCAATTTTCAAAACTCTTAAAAGAGTGAAAATTTGACAAAATAATTGATATTCATATTAATTGACAAAACTAAAATGTTTATGATTTACTATGATGTAAAATATTTAAAAACATGATAATAAAATTAGAAAATGAAAGTTGTAAAATATGATGTACTTTGCACATCATATTTTTCTTTTCCGTGACTCCTTAATTTTAAAAATATGTTTGATATAAAACATATTACTCTTTCCATTTCACAAAATAATTTTTCTTTTACTTATCTCTCTACCCACAAAATACTTCTTCCCTACCTTTCATTAAATAATCAGTTTTGTCCCAACTAAGAGTCTGTTCCATATGACTTATTTTTTCTACTTATTACTTATTCTTATTAAAATTAGATCAGATCAGGTCCAATCAGATCAGATCAGAGCAGATCCGATCAGATCAGATCCAATCAGATTAGACCAGATCCAATCAGATCAGATCAAACCAGATCAAATGCAATAATATCAAATCAAGAAAAAATATAAAAGATAATATTTATATTTTTCAAGGATTAAATAATAATTACTATTATTTGATTAAATCACATTACTTTATTTAAAACTACACATAGCGAAATCTTAATTAATATTATAATTTTAAATATTGTTGTTGTTATATTATTATTATTATTATTATTTTGAACAAAGCACAATTTATTAAAACCAAAACGTTCATACAAACCCAAGACCTGGGCAGAATACACTAAACACATACTACTACAAACTACAAACACCACCAATGGATAAACCTCATTGATTCAGTCTCTTCTGTTCACTGCCATGGCTAACACAGTCTTCACCTCTTCAGCAACTTTTGCACTAGTTTCTTCTCTCTTGTTATGAAGCTTGGAATTCCTTGCCTTCCACACATAATAACAGCAGGATACTATGCTCGAAGCAATCCACAGTCTGTCCTTCCTATTCTTTCCTTTCCACATTTTTTCCTTCAACTCAGTTAGTGATGTAGAAACTAAATCATGTTTCAACCAAGGACGAAGGGCCTTGTGCACTGATACAACAAAAGAGCACGTACAGAAAAGGTGGTCAGCAGATTCTACCTCCTCCTCACACAGCACACACTTGGTGTCAATGTCCATGAATCTACTCAGCCTGTCCTTGGTTAGAATTATCCCTTTCCATATAAGCCAAGCAATAAACTTGTGTTTTGGTATGGACCATTTGTTCCAAACCAAGTCACGCCAGTCAACCCTTGTATGCATTCCTATAAGCCAATCATATCCAATCTTGCTGTCATAACTTGTCATAGTAGTCATGCCTTGAAACAGCTTTCTATTTTGGAGCATTTTCTTCCAGTAATAACAGTCATCCTGTTTGGGGGAGTATTCCCAAACAGTAGCCCCCTTCAAATATTTGGTATGGATCCATTTGACCCATAAAGTATCCTTTTTACTAGCAATATCCCAGATCAACCTCATGATACTGGCTTGGTTCCATTTCAACAGATTTTTAAGGCCTAAACCACCTTCTTGTTTAGGCAAGCAGACTTCCTCCCAATTGATTAAGGGACATTTTTTATACTCAGGGGAAGAACTCCAGAGATAATTCCTGCAGAGGGCCATGATTTTCTTCATTACCTTATTAGGTATCAAGAAGATCCTACTCCAGAAGGAAATAATACCATACAGCACCGTGTTGATCAACTTGGCTCTACCTGCATAAGACAAATTTTTTGTGGTCCAGGAAGTAATCTGCTTAGTTAGTTTATCCACTAGAACATCACAATCTCTCTCACTTATCCTGGAGGCAGTTATAGGTCCACCTAAGTATCTAAAAGGAAAAGCTCCTTTAGCCATACCAGTTCTCACTCTGGATCTCATTTGTGACTCCTCCTAGAAAGATTTGAGACTTGTTATAATTAAGAGTTAATCCCATAGTGTCCTTGAAATGCCTAAGGCTGGAAAGGATACACTCTATGAAGTCAACTTCAGCCTTACAAGCAACAATTAAATCATCAGCAAACACAATATTGATTAAACTAAGATCCTTGCATCTAGGGTGGTGCTTGAATCTGTCATTTTTTGAGTAGTAGGAAAGGGCTCTGGTTAAATACTCCATGATTAAGGTGAATAACAAGGGGGAGACTGGATCCCCTTGTCTTATTATTATTACCATTATTATTATTATTATTATTATTATTATTATTATTATTATTATTATTATTATTATTATTATTATATTTCAACTACAAACCATTATTTTAAATAATTGTTTAGCTTGTAGGATAGAAATGATGCATGGAAGCAATGTTAAAGCTTAAAAAGTTTTATTTTTCATACTTTAAAAAGAGTTATTTTAAAACACTTGTTTATAAAATAATTATACAGAACTTAGTTTTCAAAACTATAAATGTTTTATACTTAAAAAGACCTACTTTTAAACTTTAAGATGGTATAATATACACAAGGGTGAGTTTATGACAAAATTGATAGAGGTGAAAGCGATATTAGTGTTTAAAATTTTATATGATCTTTAATTTGTAACATGAAATATATCATTATGTAATATGTATATAGAATGAGATATTTTTGTAGAATAGCATCAATATTTTCTAATATTTGTTTATTTTAATACCGAGTATTTAGTTTTCACACAAATTAAAAAAGTTTTGATATTTAAAAGATGTTTAATATTTTAAAAAAAGTTTAAACATATTAATGATTAGCTAATTTTCTTATTTTACTTTTTTATGTACATATGAATTGTAATACTTTAAAACTATTAAATTTTGTAATAATTTTAAGTTTAATTTAAATCAAATTTAAATTCATTTACACCAAATCTAATTAGAGAAAATCAGATCTAATCAGATCAGATCCAATCAGATCAGATCAGACTGAATCAGATCAGATCAGATCCAATCAGATCCAATCAGATTAGACCCAATCAGATCAGAACTTCAAATATTCAGATCAGCCAATCAGATCAGGCGTACGGAACAGAGCTTAAACTATTACTCTATCTATTACATCATCTACATTTATGATTTATCTACTCAATAGATATTACTTTTAACTATTACATACAAGGTCAAAGTTGGAAAGTACGAGGAAATATTTTTTTATCATTTCACATTATCTTTTTATGAAAAAAATCCAAGGTCAGCACCTCCGGACACCCAGGTTATGCTACCATGTTCCCTGAAGGTGCCCCCGGTCAAGTTTATTCATAGATCCGCCATTGGTCGAAAGGTGAATTTATAGGCAAGGTTAGAGAAAGGAGTGCAACTTCGGTGGAAGTTATGGTCATTCCTACTGTTCTTCAGCAAGCTTGAGAAAAAGGTGTCCGAGAACTTGAGATTCAAGAGGCTGCATGTAATCTAGGTTTTATTTTGTGAGCGATATAATAAGCTTCTTCGAGGTTTCTTTACGGTTATTTTCCTCGTCAATTTTATTGAGCTATCAGGTTAGTTTTTCTATAATAATCAATAGCAACACTTCCCCTCTCTCGATTGGATGGAAATTGATTCCTTTTTGTCTCAGTCATTCTTCTACATCTCATCTCAATTTCAGGAACTTGAGGAACGCTTAAACGCTCAAAGTTCTTCTCTATCTTGTACAAATACGTATCATTGGTGCTTTCATTGGGTTCAATTATAAAAAAAGTTGATTCACCACCACTAACAATATCTTTTCATTGCACAACCGGCTGGACCATCAAAACAATTTGTGTTCATATCCAATCATCTCCCCTACCATAAAAAAGCAAAGCATCAACAAAAGTTGGGGCTTTGATAATAATCACATCACTATGATTTGGAAATTTTATGCTTTGATAATAATCCCCATCAAATTTAGTGTTTGCCTTCCTCATCCTCCACTGGGAATTGATTCAAGGGCAAGTAGAGCAATCACTAGACAAGCAACGTGTGGCACGAATTGTCAAATTCAACAAGCAAGGTATTTGCAATCGTAGCCACATCGATACCTTGACAAAATTCATCCGGTCTGTCAACCTTGGGCACACAGACTTTGCTCTCAGTTTGTCATGGTATTTTGTTAATTACAGAGTATTATTGCACTCAACTTGGTGAAAAAACTTATAGCTGTTTGTCCACCAAAGATCCAATTACTTGCTCAAGCATTGTGCTGCTGGCTTATAACACCGCCTGCCACAACCATATTGTCAAACTAGATCAACGAAAGTAGGCCGTCAAAGGTGCACTGGAAAACAGCTACATATCCGTATCTCTATTTTGGTTTACTTCCGCCCGCTACTTAATTGTGTTCAGAGATTATGCAACAACCCTCTCTATTGATAACCTCATGATTGATCATGAAAAAGCTGAGTTTGACAAAAGAGTGTGTCTAGTTTATCATATTTTTCGTTTAATAGAGATTTTTTATGAATGTGTCTAGTTTATGCTCAACTTAATGAAATTATCAAGACGCTCCATTTGTTCTCTCATATTGAGGGTCAACTAATAATGAGGCCCGCCTATATGCATTCGACGTGGATATCTCTTGCTCAATACAAGATTTGATTCGTGGTCCTCTAATTGTGCCGAATAAAATTCCATTCTTTTACAAAATTTCCAGGTGCACATGTTAGGCGCTCCAAGTCGCGCTTTCTCTACCAAGTCTGACCCATACGGTACCTATGTAAAACATGGATTCTCGTGACAAAGAATCTGAGGAGGAAATTGATCTTGATCCGGTAAGTGTTTCCGATGATGTTCCTCTTAAAATTTCGGATTTTGCGGATGAAGTTGCTAGGGTTGGCCATCACATAAGCGACTCTCTTGGGGCAAAAGATTCTAAAGATGATGAGGCGATCTACAAGCCATATTTTACATCTTTTGTTGGAGGCGTGGCTAAGGACCACGCTTTGGGAAACAACCATCAATCTCTTATTTCAATTCTGCCTTGTGCAATCATCATGTCTCACCTTCCTGATATCATCAAGAAGGAGTGCCTTGTTTCAACGGATGCAACTATACACGAGATTGTCTTTATCTCATATTTTTCTTATAATATGTCAAGAGGCAGGTCGATTGCAAATTGGTTATCGGATGGATTTATTTTTTGGGTCAACTTCATGACTCCTGTCCAAAAGCATGAGTGGAAGCCTCTACCTTCAGTAGCCATGCTTACAGAAATACAAAATTGATAGTTCATGCTCCCTTTCCCTTAAAACCACCACTCCAGCTTCTCCACTGCCCGTCACCACAGCCCCGGCCCCAACCCCCCTATAAATGTGTGGTCATTAGTGAATTACCTTATGACAACACATTTGGAGAGTGGTAGATGGGCCTAGGCTGAGATGGGGTTGAGGAGAATTTAGGGTTATTAACCATTAATTTTCTCCTATAACCGAGCACCATAGGTGCTCCAAAAATGCATTAACAGCGTGATGGAGTGCCTGCATATGCAGTTATTTTATGTTATTATTATTTATCGTAGTGTTCATAAGGTTTATTATTTACCGAGTCAAATGTTATATATATATATTATATATATATATATATATATATATATATATATATATATTATATATATATATATATATATATATATATCTATATATATATATAGACACACACACACACAGATATATATATATATATATATATATATATATATATATATATATATATTGGTTCTGGTGAGAATGTGATCTTAGGAGAGAAATAAGAATGAATCTGGTGCTTTAGATTGTGAGATCTAAGGGTCAGGATTGCATCGAAATTAGATGCAACAAAATGGTTTGAAAATACATCATGTCGAAATGCACCCAAATTTTTTGAAAATGCACTATCTAAAAATCTGAGCACATGATGTAATCTGAGCCGCACGATGCATCAGATCTAATAGCTAGATTTTATTCTCATTTTTCTCCACAAGGTGCATTCTCACGTGAACCAGCCCATATATATATATATATATATAAAAGTTAATTACTTAGCAAAAAGTCTGTAAGTGTGTCTAAATTATTGGAGTAGTTGCTAAGTAATTTGGTAGTGAACATAAAGTGTAGGAATATTTACTAAGTAGTGAGGAATTGGGCCTAAATTCTAGGGATTGGTAGTTACTCCCTCCTTTCCAGTGTATCTGTCCAGTAAAATTTTTAAAGTCAAACTGCATCAACTTTGAACTTTAATTAATTAAAAACGTAATGTATTTTAACATAAAAATAAATTTATTAAATTATTCTTATTTAGAACTTTCAAAGTTGTATTTCATTATATTAAAATGTCATACTAATTAAGAGTAATTGAAGCTCAAAGTTTATCCAGTTTGACTTAAAAAAAGTTAAACTGTACAAGTACATGAGAACGGAGATAGTATTTGGCTTCTATAAATATTGAAGCTCATTATTTGTAAAACTATTGAGAAAGTAATTCAATGTTTATAATTACAAGATCTCTTTGGCTTGATTACTTATATGAGTTGAAGATTCTTGCTCATATTTTGATAAAGATTTTTCTTTTATAATTTTATGAAGTCTATGCTGATAGAACTCAAAAATGGTAGGGAAAATAAATGAAGGATATTTTTATTAAATTATGAAATTGGCGTAGACTTCATAAAATAATAAAAGAAAAATCTTTATCAAAATATGAGGAATAATCTTAATTTTATATGAGTAATAAAGCCAAGGAGAATCTCCAATAAAAATTGAACTACTTTCTAGATAGTTTTACAAATAATGAGCCCTTGCATGATCCCAACTAGAACATGTTTCATGCATGGCAATTGGCAACAACAATTTGAATTAGGGTTGCTCTAATATGAAGGTATGATTCATATAGATTGCCACTATAAAATCTCTCCATTCTCACCTATAAAATTGCCTGGTGAAGCAGCCATGATTCGTATGCCAAGTGTTGTTGAGAATGCCTCCAGTTTGGGGTTACAAAAATATTCTATACATGTCAACACCATCATGTGAAATTCTGCAGCATCAGCGATAAAGCTTCATGAAAGGCGTCATGCATCGATTTACCTTTGAAGTTGCTATGTCATATTTAAAATCTTTTGCTCGAAGCACCACTGCTTTCATTGGAGTTTTTCATTATATTGTCGTCCTACCACCTCTGCCAAAACCTCCAGATATACATAGAAGTTGTCCAGATTTTGCCTTGAAGACAAGGGAAATTTTGAAGGAGGGGATAATGATAGAGTGCCCACATATGTAGTTATTTTATGTTATTAATATTTATGGTAGAGTCTGTTAGGGTTATTGTTTATCAGGTCAATTTTTTTATTTTATATATACATACACATATACATACATACATACATATATTAACAGACTCTAACAGACTCTACCATAAATATTAATAACATAAAATAACTACCATAAATATTAATAACATAAAATAACTACATATGCGGGCACTCTATCATTATCCCCTCCTTCAAAATTTCCCTTGTCTTCAAGGCAAAATCTGGACAACTTCTATGTATATTTGGAGGTTTTGGCAGAAGTGGTAGGACGACAATATAATGAAAAACTCCAATGAAAGCAGTGGTGCTTCGAGCAAAAGATTTTAAATATGACATAGCAACTTCAAAGGTAAATCGATGCATGATGCCACTATTCAAGATTTCATGAAGCTTTATCGATGATGCTGCAGAATTTCACATGATGGTGTTGACATGTATAGAATATTTTTGTACCCCCAATCTGGAGGCATTCTCAACAACACTTGGCATACGAATCATGGCTGCTTCACCAGGCAATTTTATAGGTGAGAATGGAGAGATTTTATAGTGGCAACCTATATGAATCATACCTTCATATTAGAGCAACCCTAATTCAAATTGTTGTTGCCAATTGCCATGCGTGAAACATGTTCTAGTTGGAATCATGCAAGGGCACTCAAGACAAACGATTGCATTCACTATGAGGCGTTGACTTAGGGTTGTAATTGAAACTCCCTTGTCATCACGTAGGAAATCACTTGTTGGATAGGAGTAATTGAGGTTGTTTGCTGCAATGGTAAGGTGTTTGGGCGTATGAACGATTGTAGCACTGCCCTTCTACTTTTTGAATTTTCATTCCCTTCAACTCTAGATGAAAGTTACTAAATGTGATTCTTTTGCAAGGTGTCATGAAATTAACAGTCTTACCATGAACTTCTGATGCCACCCATTTGGAATTAATGACATCAAGGTGAGCTACAATGTAAAGCAATTTGGGTACTTCATAAGGAGTATAACTATGGGATGAGGAATTGTATTAAGAAAATGGAGAAACTGAATTTATGCAGCAGGAACCCATAAAGATCCAAATGATAGAACTCGAGATTGGTGAGGAAAATAAATGAAGGATATTAAATTATGAAATTAAATCGGCAAGAATCTTATTAAAATAGACTTCATAAAGTAATAAAAGAAAAATTTTTCTCAAAATATGAGCTTGAATCTTAAACTCATCTAAGTAATAAAGGCAAGGAGAATCTCCAATTATAAATATTAAATTACTTACTAGATTGTTTTACAAATAATTAGCCTCCACTTAGGCCCCGTTCCGTTCAACTTATAAAAGCAAAATAACTACCAATCCCTAGAATTTAGGCCCACTACCACACTACTTCGGCCCTGTTCCGTTCAACTTTTTTTTCCTGCTTTTTTCTTATTCTTATTAAAATCAGATCAGATCTAATAAGATCAGATCCAATCAGATCAGATCAGACCAGATCCAATCAAGAATTATTATTATTATTAGGAAGTATTATTATTATTATTATTATCATCATCATCATTATCATTATCATTATCGTTATTACTCCATACTTTTTAAATTCCATACTTTTTACTTGTTTCACTTGATACAATTCTTTCAAAAAATAAATTTAATTTCTTTTGAAAAAAATATAAGAAAATGAAACTTTTGTGCGATTACAGTTTATGTAGAGAAAAAGAAATTGAAACTTTTTATTGCTATCTGTAATTTGAGTTTCTTGAGATATTACCTTATAAAATATGAATGAAAAAAATATTATTGCACTATAATATGAATCATTATTCTAGTGTATGAATTTACTAATTTTGTTTCATTAAAAAATAATCATAAAATAAAAAATAATGATTATATTATAATATGAATTATCATTACAATTTTCAAAAGTTATTATAAAATCAGATCAAATTATTGATTTGAATTTTAAATCAAATCATAATTAATCAGATCGGATCAGATCCAATCAAATCAGATAATTAGATTGGATCAGACCAGATCAGATCATATCAGATCAAATCAGAACTACAAAAAATAAAATCAGATCAGAAAAAATAAGTTGAATGGAATGGAGCCTTAGTAACTATTCCTAGACTTTAGGTTCACTACCACATTACTTATCAGCTACTCCTAAAGTTTAGGCTCACATACACACTATTTACTAAGTAACTAACACACACACACACACACAATATTTGACTCTAAACAATAATCCTAATGGACTCTACCATAAATATCTATGTATATTTAAAAGCTGGAGAAATTGGCCTAATAATTTCCCGCCCAAAAGCTAATGCAATGATAACTATAGATTAGTAGTTGCAAATTGATCTACAGTCGAGAATTCAACACTCGGAAAGGTAGCAAACATAGCAATTAATAGCAAATAATTTCTCCAAGTGAGCTTTTAATGGGAACTCAAAAAGGATGAAATCAATACTTTATTTAAAAATAGGAAAATTATCTATGTATATTTAAAAGCAGGGGAAATTGGACTAACATTTTCCACCCAAAAGCTAATGCAGTAATAAACATAGATTTGTAGTTACAAATTGATCTACTGTCTAGAATTGAGCACTAGGAAATAACGGAGTATAAAATAATTCCTCCATGTGAGCTTTTAATTGAAATTAAAAAAGGATGTAATCAATACTTTATTTAAAAACAAAGAAATTATTGACCGGATTTTCGCGCAACTGACTATGCATCAATATATGGAAATATTGCGTTACATATGGAAATATTGTGTTCATTTTATATGGATATTTTTATATATGCATTTTATGTGCATTACATATGGAAATAATCATTCGTTACATGTAGTCATTTTTGTTATATATTTTATGTCATTTATATATAGAAATATTGAAATTGTTGTATGTATAAATGTTTTGTGTTCGTTTAAAATAGATATGTTCATTATTATTTATGGAAATTATTATTTATGGAAATAATATTATTATTATTATTATTATGGAACCAAAATATAATAGAAATAATAGTTTTATAAAAATAATACTCTCTCCGTCATATATTAATCTTCCTAGTTTGACTAAAATTCATTTTTAAGGGATCGATAAATATGTCTTAGACTTCCAAAAATACCCCTCCTTCCCAAGGGCAATGATTGAGAAGAGGGGGTGCAACACAGAGACGAAGAGATGGGCCCGGTCATTATTCTGCTACGGGGGAGTGGATGAACAGCTGAGCCCGAAGATCCGATAGTCCGTGCTGGAGGAGACGATTCAGAGAGTCGGCGACGATTTAAGGGATGGGATGACTCGATCTACTCTCACTGCAACTAGAAAAGTAATAATTGAACCCAGCAGTGAACTTTCAAAAAATTGAAAAAAAAAACTAAAAAAACTTGCCAAAAAATCATCGTTGGAATACCGTTTGTCGGCAAAGGTCAACATCGACAGAACCCGGTGCACAAACCACATACTTCCTGAGCAACTGGTTGTCGGCAAAGTTCAACGTCGGAGTACATCTGGTTGTGGTCTCCGCTGCAGGTCTGACATCCGATGAATCGCCAGTATCGTTCCTTGATATCGGCGACGATGAAAAATCGCAGATCGAAAGGGGGAGAGAACTTTAGATCTAGATCTGCGGTTTTGAGAAAGAGGCGAAGAAAGGAGAGGGAAGAGAGACGGAGAGGATTAGATCTATTAAGGAAAATGAAGATTAGTTGAAAATGAGAGGGAAGAGAGATGGAGGAAGTGAGAGGAAGGAGAGATGGAGGAAGGGGGAGAAGGAAGAGACATGGAGGAAGAGGGAGAAGGAACAGAGACGGACGGAGGAGGATGCCAATAATTGAGAGAGAGGTTACAGTCTATTTACATCCTTTATTAAGATGATGTGGGAAGATCATTTTAGGACGGAGAAAAAAGAGACTTGGGAAGATAGTCCCATAAAATATTTCCTGTTTCAAAAAAGGCACGCCCTTAAAATGAGTAATTTTGGTGTTATTTTCTAATTTTGCCCTTACTTTATAAAAGAGTAGGATGAGATGTGTAGAATAGATTAATCATAATTAAAAAATAACACTAAAATTACTCATTTTAAAGGCGTGTCATTTTTTAAACAGGAATTGTTGTTTAGAAAAACCCTTCCCATTTGATTTAGGGGCAAAAATAAGGAAGTGTTAAATTATAGTTGATTTCCAAATTTGCCCCTGACGTGATGGGTAAAAGTAAGATGTGATGGATAGATTATTAGAGAAAAAATATGATGTGATAGGTAGGGTATGAAAAAGTAAGGGTAAACGTAGTTTTTTAATAGAAAGGGAAAGTGTTTTGTTGGAAGTGAAAAAAATGAAAGAGGAAGTGTTTTTGAGAACGGAGAGAGTAATAAGTTTAAAATTGATATGAATTTTAGTTTAAATTTTGTATAAATATAAAAAAAGGTAATAGGACGAAACTATAAGGTTGGCATTAATATAATTATTATTATTATTATTATTATTATTATTATTATTATTATTATTGACGCAAATATAAATTGGGGTATAAATAATAATAATAATCACGTGACTTTTATTGGGACGAAACTATAAGGTTGGTAAATTTTGTGCATTCATTATATATGGAAATTTTGTGAGTGTTTGATCAATTTATTTGTTAAGAAAATTATTATATTACATATATACACTATTATATATGCATATTATTTTATAAGGATACTATGGATGTTTTTATATATGGTGTGTATAATATATGGAAATTTCGTGTGCATATAATATATGGAAAAGCGATTAGTAATAGTAATAATAATAAGTTTAAAATTGATATAAGTTTAAATTTGAAATTCAAAAAAAAGTTAATGGGATGAAAATATAAGGTGGAGTATTGATAAAAATATTATTATTATTATTATTTTACATGAAAAGTTTTTATTAAATTATTAATAATAATTAAGGGACATATACACGGCCAACTATTATTATTACTATTATTATTATTAATTATTTAAATTGACATAAAATATGTAAGAATATATTTACCATACATAAAACTTATTATATATAAAACTTTACTATATCTTAGGACATAAACAGGGTCTAATATTATTATTAAAATTATTATTATTTACATAATATGTAGGAATATATTTACTATATTTCGGGACATAAAAACTATATTATTATAATTATTAATTATTATAATTTACATACAATATGTAGGAATATATTTAGCATGCATTAATAATACAATAGTATAGATAAAAATCAAATGAACTTTTAATTATATATGGAGATATAAAGATTATTATTTATGTAGATCATTATTTATAAAGATTTTTTTATATGGACGCTTTTTTTAAATATGCAAATTTTTTATTATCATTTTGCATTATTGATCACGGTCAATGTTAGTTTTGGTATCTTTGTGTTGGGAAGTGATCGTACGGATGGGGAGGATGAACGGCCCCAGAATAAACTAAAAATAAAATAAAATAAATCCGAATTTACAATTTATTCGAATTTAACTACAATAAATAAAAGAAATATAACTTCTGATCTTCAAAGGCCTTGCTCGACAATGAAGACTTTGTGCACAAGATTAAAGCAGCGAACTGGAATGTGGAACTTGTAAACGAAATACAAAAACCAAACACTGTAGAAGGGCATCGGAGTTACCGGAGATGTCCTAAAGGTAATAGTGTCCGCCTACCGTACTGGAGAACGTGGACACCTTCCTCCCAGGATAAAGCCGATATCGTGTGCGGTGGTTGTACGAACCAACCACACACCAACGAACAAGAACAATGTTGGAGCGTCGCCTACCGGAAAAATAGAAGGGAATCGCCGGAATATTTGGTTGGAAAAAACCAAGAGCTCTCTTAAAGAATTTAATTAAGAAGAAAAATGTTTTATCCTTTCTTTAATAAGCTAAGGAAAATAAATGTTTCTTCTTGTTTTTTCTTCTCCACTCACGTATGGAGTTCACCAAAGGGAGAGGCTCCACTTTAATGTGCATAATGGAGTGACTTTACACAATATGTAACCACCATGCACTAATGATAATTATTAAGGCATTAGTGGTCACTAGAGGATTTAGGATTAAAAAGTACTGGGGACATCCTAGAACCAGGTTTGGGAGAAGCACTCATGAGCTTTCTTTTAGAGACAAATATTGATTGAAAATAGAACATGCTCCATGGGGTCATGAATTAAAGGGCATGTTTCCGTTTTCGATAATTTATTAAAATTATTTTCAATATAATTTATTTGAAAATAAAGAAGAAAATAAAAAATATAATTTACATAGTGGGTATTTAAAAACTAAATTAAAAGATCTACAACATAGCTGTATTATTTTATCAAATGAGTAACAAAAAAGTAAAAAAAATTAAGTTTAACTTTTTGATTGATAAAAAATACTTTAATTTGGAACAAAAAGAGCAATAAACTTTATGTGAAGCAGTCATTCAAATAATTAAAATGAAATTTTTTAAAATTACTCCTTAATGATCTATAGAGTATAATATAACTTAATTTTATTCTTATAAAACCTTCTCAGTTTGACTTTTACACAATTCAAGAAAGATGTTAAAAAAATAAAAGTAATGGTTAAAATTAATTAAGAGGAGAGAAAATTTTTAGTGACTATTTAAAAAAAGAAAAGCGTAGATTTTTATAGGGTGAATGAAAAGGAAAAGTAAGAAGTTTTTATGAGGTATAGCCTGTAGGGAGTATATTTTTAAGAACAAAATAGAGCAAGTAAACTTAAAACTAGGGCTGTGCATTGGTCTAAACCCGGACCGACCTGGACCGAACCGGGATCATACCGGGACCGAATAAGAGCAAAGTAGTGGACCGTAGACCGGACCGACAAAGTGTAAGACCGGACCGGGACCGGACCGAAAGAAACTGGACCGGTCCGGACCGGACCGAATAAGGACCGAATATGCCAATTAATTGGAACTTTGAAGATTTGCACTTGGGAGAATGGCAATTTCTTTAAAAATTAATAGAATTGAGAAAAACAATATACTTCATTACTCCAATCCTCCAAAAAAATCCCATAAAAAATCTCATAATCCCAGAGAGGCCTGTGTTTTGTCAGATTATTCGCCGGAATCGGTTCGTCGTTTGATATTTCTTTTGCCGGCGAGAATAGTGGAGTTGTGGTCTGTGCTGCCCTCTGTGGATTTGCTATTGGATAGGGTTGTGCTGGATTTCATAATTTGGGATAATGGACTAATGGGTTAATTTGTATGGTACTTAAGCCCATATACTAAAATAGTACTCCGTAAGATATAAGCTCATATAATCGGTCCACCTGTCTCATCGGGTTTGGACCGGACCGGACCGGAACCCGAAAAACGGAAATTGATGGACCGGAGACCGGACCGAATTAGGACCGGTCCGGACCGGTCCGGTCTAGTTTTGACCGGTCTCCGGGTCAGTCCGAGTTTGGACCGAATAATGCACAGTCCTACTTAAAACATACTCCCTCCGTCCCAAAAAGTCTTTTCTGTTTCATTTTTTGCGCATCCCATAAAACACTTATAACGACATCTAAAATGTCTAAAATTTACAAAATTTCTTCTTTAATGTGGCTAGAAGTTATTTTGAAAGTTTTTTGGCATTAAAACGGGATAGAAGTGTTTTATTGGATGCGCAAAAAATGAAACAGGAAAGACTTTTTAGAACGGAGGGAGTACAAAACAAATAACTTGTAAACCTAATTATTATACCTAAAAGGAAAACAATTAATTTATTTTAAAAAAAGAAAGAAATACTTGAAAGCTGGATAGCGGGGCCACACGAGGCACTCTCTTATTTTGAATGGGGGCACCAACAATATCAATCAACTTTTTTTTTGTTTTTGTAACTTAGCAATAGGATTTGACTGGGGGTATTAGCCCCTAATACCATACACATGGATCTATCCCTGTTAGTGGTGTGTATGGTAAATGATAGTTAATTATATCATTAACATGTCCGTTAAACTACGCTCTGTTTAAAATTTGTCCTGAATAATTGGAGATTAATGGCCAGTTGACTCTGTAAAAATGGACTTATTTTAAATACTGTGTAAAAATAATATGGTTCAATAAAATATGCATGTGCATGCATCAACCATACTCTTCTATTCAATGGGTCAATTTTGAGAATAAATTTCTCATTCACCATTTCTACCATTTTTGGCGCATAATATAAAAAAAATATTAATTTATCTCTTTTAAGAGAGTACATGTCCATTAATTAATGGTTAAAATCGTTAGTGGACCTATTGATAATTATGTCCAAAGTTGGTAGATTTAATGCCTTTTAAAATGCCAAAAATTCCAACACTTTTCAGTTCCCTTTGGTTTTTATAAATAGGTTATTGCCCCTACCAATATGTTGCAAATTCAAGAGCAAATCATATTAACTTGAAAATTTTGATATATTGTGCAGATGATTTTCTCACAAATTATACCAGTATTGTAGTTTAAAAAAATTTCCAAAACTTGTAATTCATAATTTAAAATAATGAAAAAATTTATATTCCGGTATATGATTTGTTTGTATTCTTCAATAATAACACTAATATAATTTCATAACGTAAATACGAGTCGTGCAACACACGGGTATAATACTAGTTAATAAGATAAACTAACTCCATATGTGGGCACTCTATCTCCCGAATAAATGCAAAAATAATAAATGACTATTTGAATATTAGTATCTCTTTAAAAGGAATTATTTTAATCAATCCACTGTTTGCCATCATCCAATTGTTTAAACTTCTAAAGCCTTTTAAATCTGCCAGCGCATGGACACACCAATTATGCTCGTTTTCAAAAGGATAGAATTAAATGTTTAAGACGAAAGTCAAAATCCTTATAATCAAATATGGATCTTTCAAAAGAACAAAAATATGGAGTAAAAGAGAATTAACAAGCTATACTTTATTACTCACTTCGTCTCAAAAATATTATCTTTGATTTTTTGATCAAACCGTACTACTATTTGATATAATGTAAATTTAATTAATAATATTAGGTTGATTTCAAAATATAGTTTTGATATATCAAAATTTTTTAATATTCAAAGCATACGTAATTTGTGACCAAAGCATTACATAGTTTAATAAAAAAATCATATTATGATAATCTTTGTTAGAGGAATGGAGTATAAAATTTATAGATTCATCAACTGAAAAAAAGAGTTGAAGTTATTAGATTCATCAATTCGATAATATCACACATTTATTACACATGACGTAGGTATGTGTTGGTTAGTCTTTGTTATTTCAACCACATGTGATTATTGAGCTTTTGCTATATAAATAGGCTCATACACAAATTCTTTATATGTTGTATAGCATTTTAAATTTGAGCCTTCTAAGTTCTCAACATTTCCTTCTATTTATTCATTTCTCTATATATGTTTGAATAAAAAGTTAAAAATGGGATTCCCTAATCGTTATAGTGTTTTTCATGCTTTGCTGATATTGAATGTTTGTATTCTAGTTTTGGCTTATGGTGATGGAGTTGGCGTCAACCACAATAGAGGAAGATTTGCGAACGGGTTGTATCAAGAGTGGCTCAAACGTAGTCATCGTACACATGAATATACAAGAAGTAATTTCGCAAAAGGTATATTTCTTAGAAGTGCATTTGTTGCTGAACCAATTGGTGAAACCGAACGAAAAATTGAAGGAAAAATTGATGTCGCAAGTGAAGAAAAGCCTGAAGATGTGATCGTTAATAACACAATTATTAGTGGAGGTGAAATAAGTGGGGGTGTTGGTGGAGGATTTGGAGGAGGTGTTGATGGATTTGGGGGTGGTGCTTATGGGAGATGGAATCTATGTTACCATGAAAACTTTGAAAACACTCTTCTTAAAGGTTTTGGGGATAAAAATTTCAATCTAATAAATGGACTTGGGGCTAAGGATGGTCAAGGTTCTCAAGATGTAGTTGCTAATGTAATCAAAGAAAATGATGTGGGTGGGGGAGAAGGCATAGATAAAGGTGATGGGAGTGGTTTAAGTGAAGATTTAAGTTTTTGTGGTGGAGGTGGGGGAGGTATAGGGTTTGGTTTAGGTGGTGGAATGAAAAATAGATTGGGAGATGATGATGATGATGATATAAGTAGAGGCATGGTGAATAGTTTTGAAAATGGAGGCAATGGTGAAGGTGGTTTTGGCCTTGGTGGAGGTTTTGGAGGTGGGGTTGGCGGAGGCATTGTTGGGAGTAGTACCGGTGGCATGGTTGATGGTGGTGCTAGTATGGGCGGAGGATTTGGAGGAGGGGGTGGCTTTGGGGGTGGACTACTACAAAGCAATTTTGGTGGCGGTATCGGCGGAGGTTTTGGAGTGACAACAAAAGGAGTTATTGGTGGTGGAGCAGATTGATATAGTGCGATCATGCTAGAAACCCACCACGGTTGTCTCGTTTACATACACAAACAAAGCATTTATGGACACAAAGATTATCGTATGTGTATGTATAAAATTATTTGTGATTGTAATCAATGGAGGCACCTGTAATAGATTTTTAGTGTTATTCTCTATAGTGATACTTTATTTATAAATGATCTATGTGTTGACAATATAATCTTCAATCAGGTGGCTTGGATGATGAAAAAACTAAGAAAAGTATAAAAGGCTTATTGTAACTTATGTTATTATGGAGAATCATATTTTCTGCTTTCTAATCTATATCGACATAATTTATGCACATGTAAAGACACACACAAGTGAGTGAATATTTGGGCGAACAAAAAAAGACATTGGTCTCCAAAATATGGTACAAAAAGGATAAAATAATATCACTCCATTGAAAATGTACTTCAGGTATACTGTAAGTCTGTAACACTAGGGCAAATGGCAATTACGAATAGAATCAAATTAAAGCTACTTCATGCATTTCCAAATAAAACACTTTCTCATCCGAGAGGTACCCCTACAAAATCTACAATGGCGCCCTACTTGCCTACTTTCAACTTTTTTTTAAATAAATCAAACCTTCTACTTCATACAGGTTCATCATATACATTCTCAATATTTAATAGCATTTTTATATAATTATATTTTATTTGTTTAATACGGAGTATGATTTTATTATTTTAAAATTTATAATAATGCTTATGATACTATCTTCGTTCAAAAAAACATTATCCTGCTTTGAATGACATGCAAAATAATACTCCCCCGTCCTGGAAAACATGAGAGTTTTGATTTTGAAAAGGGATTTAAGGGGAGTGTATTTTGGTATTGAATTTCCAAAAATGTTCTGTTGGAATTTTTGGCATTTTTTAATAGGCATTAAATGGACCAACTTGGGTATATTTGTCAATAGGTCCACTAACGGTTCTAACCGTTAATTAATGGACGTGTGTTCTCTTAAATGAGATAAATATTTTGATAATTAATACGCCAAAAATGGTAGAGGATGAATGAGAAATTCATTCTCAGATGAACTGTTGAGTAGAAGAAAATATTTATTATTTTCAAATTTCTATAACTTGTTTTACACGTTTGTTCTAATTAGTTCCAATTTTGGAGTTAACTCGCCACTAATCTCCAATTTATAGGAACAAAATTTAAACTAATGAACATAAATGATATAATCATTATGATTATTGATGAGTGTCATTATGCCCATGATAAAGAATTGATCCGTTTCAATTCTTAAAAAAAATGAAGGCACATGTTAATTGCATTAAGGGGCTGTTTGGCAACTTCTGAATGGGTAAGTGCTGAACCAGTAAGAGGTCAGAATCATTAAGTGCTGAACCAGTAAGAGGTCTGAACCATTAAGAGCTAGTATATTGCTTAACTATTCAGAGGCAAATGTCTGATCAATTCAGATAACAGCTCTTAACCATTCAGACTCTGTATAATACTTAACCATTCAGAGGCATATCTCTTAACCATTCAGACATCTGAACCATTAAGAGGCTGAAACAAACAGTCTGAACCATTAAGTGCTGAATCATTCAGACATCTGAACCATTAAGAGGCTGAAACAAACAGCCCCTAAATGTTAAATGGCCTTTCATGCTTCTTGGTTTTGGATATATACGTACACCCAAGAAGAGGAAAAGAGGTAGATTGCCTATTGTTACTAAAGTTTTCTTTTTTGTTTCCCTCTTGGTTTCTAATCACGAACAAAAAAAGGGGGGAAAGAAAAAAAAACCTTTGTGAGTACAAAAACTCTAGTTTTTGGCCAAAGTTTCAAGCCATCCTCTTCAACGTTTTTTTTGGTCGGCAATACTCCGACGTTGTTCGTTGGTGTGTAGTCGGTCCGTACAATCACTACACACGATAGCGGTTTTATCCTGGAAGGAAAGTGCCCACGTTCTCCAGTACGGTAGGCGGACACTATTACCTTAAGGACAGCTTCGGCAACTCCGCTGCCTTTTTACAGTGTTCTATTTTGCAAACTTTGTTCTCGAGTTCTATGTCCCAGTTCGCTGCTTCTTTTTAGTGCATAAAGTCCTCCTTGTCAACGAAGGCCATCGACGATCAGAAGCTAATTTTATTTTATTTATTGTAGTTAATCCGAATAAAATTATAAATTCAGATTTTTTTTCCTTTTAGTTTCCGGGACCGTTCATCTTTCCCATCTATTGTAATCCGTACAATCATTTGTAACAATCTTAAGGTAATAGTCATATCCGTGCACGATGGCGGGTATGGACGGATTCAGTTTTGACGCTCACACTAGAAACGGGAGTAGTTCCGAGACTCCGGTTGTGAATGCTTCGGCTGGATTGGGTGGCTCTGTTAGGCAGACCACTCTGATTAACATTCCTTTCGGATCGAGTGCGGCCATGGGGTCCACTCTGATCACCACCTTCGTTGGATCGAGCGCGAAAATGGGGTCTGCTCCGATCACCTCGATTATTGGACCAACCGCGGCTACGGCCACAATGGTCACCCCACTCGGACCGAATATGGCTTCGGCCATACCGGTCATTCCCTCACTTGGACCGAACGCGGGTGTCTTCACATCCGCACCGGTCGGACATCCTACTGTCATGCTGCCTGCGAACTCTGTCAAAGAACCGGCAAAGTTCACAGGTGTTGGCTTTAAAATATGGAAGGATGTTATTTTGGCTGATGTTATTTTGGCAGGATGTGTTGGCAAAGTTCACAGGTGTCGGCAAAGGATGTTATTTTGGTTGACCACCCTCAACCTTGCGAGGTACTTGAGGGAGGATCCCCCTGTTGTGGGGGAGAATGCGGACGAGCCAACAATTCAGGCTAAGGAGGCATGGATAGCAAATAACTATACATGCATTAACCTTATCCTGAATTGTTTGAGCGATGCCTTATATGTTGTCTATAGCAGGGCTCCATCCGCAAAGGAGTTATGGACTACACTGTCCAACAAATACCAAGCCGAGGACGCCGGTGCGAAGAAATTCGTTGTCGGTAAGGTTTTGGATTTTAAGATGGTGGATTTCAAACCCGTGGTGAGTTAAGCTGAAGAATTGATCCTCATTTTTAATGAGTGCACTGACGAGGGAACGGGAGTCAGTGAGGCATTCCAAGTGGCGGCGATTATTCATGTGCTCCCGCCGACTTGGGATGAGTTCCGGAGCTATCTCAAGCTCAAACGGAAAGAGATGACTTTAGAACAGTTGCTTGTTCGTCTCCGGATCCGTGAAGAGGGTCTTACTCGCGAGAAGAAAGTAGTTGTTTCTAAGGCCAATGTGGTGGAGCATCCACTCAAAGAGGGTTCTTCCAAAGGGCCCAAGCCAAATAAGGACAAGAAGAAGATTGGTCCTAAAGGAGGCGTCGCGAAGACTAAGTTTGCAGGGAAATGCTACAATTGTGGCATTACGGGCCACTGTTCTTCAGAGTGTCGCAAGAAGCCTCAGAAGAAGAAGCAGAAGAAGGAAGAAGCTCTCTGCTCGGAGCTAGATGCTATGGACCTTTGTGCTGTCGTGACAGAGGTCGACCTGGTCGGGTCTAACCCGAAAGAGTGGTGGGTTGACACCGGAGCCACTCATCATATCTGCTCCAATCAGGCAATGCTCTTTGACTTTAAGGAGACTTCTGGCGACAAGGTGTGGATGGGCAACTCCGCCCAATCCGAGGTTCAAGGCGTGGGCAAAGTTAAGCTCAAGATGACATCCGGCAAGGAGCTCACACTGAATGATGTGTTGTATGTGCCGGACATACGGAAAAACTTGGTGTCAGGCTCACTATTGACCAAACATGGATTCCGCATGGTGTTCGAGTCTGATACGCTGATCTTGAGCAAAAAGGAAATATTCATAGGCAAAGGTTATATTTTTGATGGGCTTTTAAAGCTTAATGTACTCACTGTTGTTGAGAAAATTAATAAAACTCTTGTTGCCTATGTTTGTGAGTCCTCCAATGTGTGGGATGGAAGACTAGGACATGTTAATTATGCATCTCTTCGGAAATTAATTAACATGGAATATATCCCTAAGTTTGACATCGACCAGTCCCACAAATGTGAGACGTGTGTTGAAGCGAAGTCAACGCGAAGTTCGTTTCAAACAATTGAGCGAACCACTGAGCCACTGGATTTAATTCACACGGATCTGTGTGATTTCAAAGCAACGCCTTCAAGAGGTGTTAACAAATATGTTATCACTTTTGTCGATGATAACACGAAGTATTGCTATATTTATTTACTTAAAAGTAAAGATGAGGCGTTGGACACTTTCATTCGGTATAAGAATGAAGTAGAAAATCAAATCAATCGTAAAATTAAAGCGATTAAGAGTGATAGGGGCGGGGAGTACGAAGCTCCATTCTCCGAATTGTGTGCACAACATGGAATTGTGCATCAGGTAACTCCGCCATATATACCCCAATTAAATGGTGTGGCGGAACGGAAAAATCGCACTCTCAAAGATATGATGAATGCGATGTTGCTTAGTTCGGGGCTACCCCAAAATATGTGGGGGGATGCTATTTTATCTAGAAATTATTTGTTAAATAAAATACCTCGAAAGAAACTTGATAAGACTCCTTACGAGTTGTGGTATAATAGGAAACCTTCCTATAAATACCTGAAAGTGTGGGGGTGCCTTGCAAAAGTTTTAGCACCACCACCAAAGAAAATAAAGATTGGTCCAAAGACCGTTGATGGAATCTTTATTGGCTACAGTAGTAGCGCGTATCGATTCTTAGTGTATAGGTCTGATAATCCAGAAATACATAAGAACACGATAATGGAATCGAGGAATGCAACATTCTTCGAAAATATATTTCCGTTAAAGCCAAGGGAAGAAGCAAGTTCGTCCAAACGTTCACATGATGAAATGTTGAACGATGGTTCCTCGGATCAGTCTAATACCGGTATAATTGATGAAATCGAAACTGAGACTGAACTAAGACGAAGTAAAAGGACACGAACTAAGAAGTCCTTTGGTAATGATTTTCTAACTTATTTGTTGGAATTTGAATCGGGGACTCTATCATTTCTGATAGAGACTAAACCCGATATTCTATCATGTTTATTAGAAAATGAACCACGAACTTATCGTGAAGCAGTGAATTCGTTTGAAGGACCTCAGTGGAAAGAGGCAATTAAAAGTGAAGTTGATTCTATTATACAGAATCACACTTGGGAGTTAGTGAAACTACCTCCTGGATGCAAACCGTTAGGTTCTAAGTGGATCTTTTGGAGGAAAATGAAACCGGATGGTTCCATTGATAAGTACAAAGCCAGACCTGTAATTAAGGGTTACAATCAACGTGAGGGCTTTGATTATTTTGACACATATGCCCCTGTGTCAAGGATAAATTCCATTACGATGATACTTGCAATAGCTTTCTTGCGGAACTTAGAAGTTCATCAAATGGATGTGAAAACAACTTTTCTTAATGGAGATCTAGAAGAAGAGATCTACATGGAACAACCAGAAGGGTTTATAGTTCCTGGTCAAGAAAGGAAAGTATGTAAACTCGTTAAGTCATTATATGGTCTTAAACAGGCGCCAAAAGTATGCCATGAGAAGTTTGACCAGGTAATGATGAACTCTGGGTTCAAAATTAATGAATCAGACAAGTGTGTCTATCTAAAAAACACATCCCAAGGGTATGTCATGTTGTGTCTATATGTAGACGACATACTCATAGTTGGTAGCGATGACAAGATGGTCAAGTCTACCAAAGACATGTTAAACTCGTGATTTGACATGAAAGATATGGGTCTGGCTGAAGTAATTCTTGGAAATAAAATTGTGAGAAGACCTGAGGGTCTAGCACTGAGTCAATCCAATTACATTGATAAAATCCTTGACAAGTTCAACAAGGATGATGTTAGAGTAGTAAAGACGCCATTAGACGTCAACGCACACCTGGCTAAAAACTGAGGTTCTAGTAACTCTCAAATTGAGTATGCGAGAGTTATTGGAAATTTGATATATCTAATGAGTTGCACTCGATCAGATTTAGCATGTGCCATAAGTAAGCTGAGTAAATACACCAGCAATCCGAGTGATGAGCATTGGAAGGCTATTGTACGTGTGATGAGATACCTGCGGTATACACGTGACTATGCTTTATGCTACTCGAGATATCCACCGGTACTGGAAGGATACTCGGATCCAACTGGGATTATCACGATTGACTATGTGAAGTCAAAAGATAATCTCGCGGATCCGCTAACCAAAGGGTTAACAAATGAGTTGTATGAGAAGTTGGTGGCATGAATGGGTTTGAAGCCCTTGTGCTAGGACAGTCGTATGAAGGAAAACCCCAACGTGGCTGGTACCTAGGTTCAATGGGACAACCTACTTGTAGGATAAAGCGTGGTCACTGTGGGGGCAGTACCGGAACCTCCGGTCAGTCCCTTCTGTTCCTGTTAAAGACATTGACTCCCAAAAATGATGAGGTTAGCATATAAATATGCTTTAATGATTCTTAAACAATAGACACGGTGGTCTAAGTGGAGTAATCGGGATACTCTTAAAGAATCACCTATGTAAAAGTGAAGTGTGGTCGCTTCAAACGGAGGATCTTGGGCTTAATCCTCTAAACACTCTCGCAGAACCAGGCGCGTGTCCCACGACCAAAATGGGCACAACCATGAGAACAGAATGATGTTTGGTTGGAATCTGTGTATGGTATACTATCGTTTACACAAACGGCAGTATAGTTCAAAGACATCGCGTTCTACTGAACAGCCAGTAAAGAAGGTATACTTTAGAACGGACAGGTTCAAAGGTGGAGACACTTACCTGTTCTTTGCAGGTTTTCAACCGTGTGATGCTGTCGACCCCAAATCAATTTTCATTCATGTGTGGGATTGTTGGAATTTTTGGCATTTTTTAATAGGCATTAAATGGACCAACTTGGGTATATTTGTCAATAGGTCCACTAACGGTTCTAACCGTTAATTAATGGACGTGTGTTCTCTAAAATGAGACAAATATTTTGATAATTTATACGCCAAAAATGGTAGAGGGTGAATGAGAAATTGATTCTCAGATGAACTGTTGAGTAGAAGAAAATATTTATTATTTTCAAATTTCTATAACCTGTTTTACACGTTTGTTCTAATTAGTTCCAATTTTGGAGTTAACTGGTCACTAATCTCCAATTTATAGGAACAAAATTTAAACTAACGTGTATGCCAACGGTTGATAATAATGAACATAAATGATATAATCATTATGATTATTGCTGAGTGTCATTATGCCCATGATAAAGAATTGATCCGTTTCAATTCTTTAAAAAAATGAAGGCACATGTTAATTCCATTAAATGTTAAATGGCCTTTCATGCTTCTTGGTTTTGGATATATACGTACACCCAAGAAGAGGAAAAGAGGTAGATTGCCTATTGTTACTAAAGTTTTCTTTTTTGTTTCCCTCTTGGTTTCTAATCACGAACAAAAAAATGGGGGAAAGAAAAAAAACCTTTGTGAGTACAAAAACTCTAGTTTTTGGCCAAAGTTTCAAGCCATCCTCTTCAACGTTTTTTTTGGTCGGCAATACTCCGACGTTGTTCGTTAGTGTGTAGTCGGTCCGTATAATCACTACACACGATAGCGGTTTTATCTTGGGAGGAAAGTGCCCACGTTCTCCAGTACGGTAGGCGGGCACTATTACCTTAAGGATAGCTCCGGCGACTCCGTTGCCTTTTTACAGTGTTCTATTTTGCACACTTTGTTCTCGAGTTCTATGTCTCAGTTCGCTGCTTTTTTTTAGTGCATAAAGTCCTCCTTGTCAACGAAGGCCATCGACGATCAGAAGCTAATTTTATTTTATTTATTGTAGTTAATCCGAATAAAATTATAAATTCGGATTTTTTTCCTTTTAGTTTCCGGGACCGATCATCTTTCCCGTCTATTGTAATCCGTACAATCATTTGTAACATGTCTTTTGATGTGATGAGTAAAAGTATGATTTGATGGATAGATTATTAGTAAAAATGTATGATGTGATAGGTAGGGTATGAAAAAGTAAGGGGTAAAAGTGACTTTTTAATAGAAATGAGAAGTGTTTTTGGGACAAATGAAAAAAGAAAGGAGAAAGGTTTTCAGGGACGGAGGGAGTATTATTTTTTCCTTTTTCTTCTCAATTAGAATAATATTTATTATTATGTGTATTTATTTGTTTCGATTAGGCTCAGGTCACCCGTAAAATTCAGTTCGTAGTTGTGCACTACTAAGATACCGAAAGGAGCAACACCCTAATCCAACCTCTCCAGACTCCACTCACAAAGAAATGGAGAAGAACAAATATGAACACACAGAGGAAAAAAATAACACGGAGGACCCAAAAAGAGAAGGATGAGTTTTTTTGCACGGTTAAACGCAAGCACACAACCTCTCTCTCTCTCTCTCTCTCTCTCTATAGAGTAGAGATTAGGGTGGTAATTAAGGCAAGTTTAATTAGGTTAGGAATATGGGATGGGCTTGAGTAAATGGGCTACTGGGTTGGGTGTCAAGTTATTATTAATATGTTTGGGCCAACCGCAAATAAATTAACAATCTCCACCTTTGGCCCAAAGCAGTGCACATAGTTTACAAGGAACCGCATGACTCATCAAAGCCTAATAACCACTAAATGTGTAATCAACAAATGAGAACACCCATAGTGGTGGAGAGTTCACAAAGTGCTCTCAAGTGATGAAGACTAGGCAACATCACAAAGCATGCCAAAAGTAACTCACGCAGAGTCGAACTCTATCATTGGGTCAACGAGTTCAAAAAACAAAACAAAAGAAAAAATCACAAAGACAGAAAAGACCAAAAGATCAACTGTAACGCCCAAAACATACCCTAGATTTATTAATGATTAATTATTCAATTAATCAAATTTGTTTGGATTAAAATAAATTGTTGTTGGGATTTGGGCCAAAATAAAATATGTATTGATATCCAATAAACATAATTTGAAGACAAATCAAATATGTTTACTTATTATGTGACCTTGATTGGGAACCTGAGTATAGACCCAAAATCAAAAATAAATGGATAATGTGTTTATGATGTAAACTTTGAGATGGTTTATTGAAATAAATCATGAGAATAAATAATATGAATTGAATATGAGCACCTTTTGGAGTAAAGGTCAAACAAATCAATTTTTACTCTCTCAAAGTCAAACACCCAAAAATATGATGTCGAAAAAAGTATAATGAATAAACATAAAAATTATATCGTTGGATAGAATTTAATTGTACAATTCGGAGAAAGTTGAACCAAAAAGTATACCCCGACTAGAACCAAATTAGTCCCAATCAAAGAGTAACATGCTGAATCTCCTTAAGTCGCACTATCACCGAAAGAAGAACGTGAATTTCCTACGCAGCATCTACTTAGACTTTGTTTCCTTCTTCTTCATCTTCCCTATATAAAGAGAGAGCTAAACTCTCATTTCTACACCATTCTCCCTACTTCTTCTCCTATTGTGTTCTTGAGAGTGTAAGGAATACTGTAATGCTGTCAATTTGGTGTGAAGTCACTGGAGCTAAGAGTAATCCTCGCCGGAAGTTTCGTCGGAAAATTCTCAAAACCTCCGTTAAGTTTCAAGGTAAGCCCGTAGATATATCTAATGACTAGAATGTTTATATATGTTGTTTCTACGTTCATAAATGGTCATTTGGTTGAGTTTTGTGTTTGACATGTTTGAATAACTAAGAATCATAAAGCTTGAATTTGATGTTAAAAATATGATTTAATGATTCCAAAATGATCTATGAACCTTGGATAACATTTCTATATAATTTAATTGAAGTTTGGTACCTAAAAATGGTATACCCGAAAAATGGGCCGAAGGTTGAAAAAGATGAACAGTGACCTGAAACTACACTGCCTGGATCGATCACACTGCCTGGATCGATCCTCTGGGAGTGTTTCTTCTAGCTTGGATCGATCCAAAAGGCTTGATTGATCCCCCGAAATTCTGATCTGAAAATTTGTTTGAAAATGCTTTTTTGAGTTCTAAAATCCTATTTTTTATACCAATTGATTACACTACAAAAAAACGCGGAATTGGCACGACTTTTGGCACGGACTATAGTTTTAGTTTCCCGTGGCTAAGGTATTAGGCACGGATTTGAAACGCTGCCAATTTCGAAGCTCCAAACCGTATGGCACGGAAATCTAGTCTGTTCCAAAGATAGAGACGACGTCGCTTATAACAAATTCGTTCCAAACTAACCTTTGTAAGAAAAACGTTAAAGATATTAGGCACGACTATGTGTGTGTCAATCGCCCGTTGCTGATTAGGCACGACTAAACAACGGCATTTTTTGTCCTGATAACATTTATAAAATATTGCAATAGGCACGGTACGTATCCGTGCCAAAAATGTATTAATATCGTCAGTATGTTGATGAGACGATGAGCTCGGAACATCATTAATCACAACCTGTTGGCCCCAAGCCATGTTCTCATAATTACCCCATGCAGAAACCGACTCTGGAACTGTAACGCTCCAAAATATACCCTAAAACTTATTGAATTAAATATTCAATTAATCAAATTTGTTTTGATTAAAATAAATTATTGTTGGCCTTTGGGTCGAAATAAAATGTGTTTTGATATCCAATATCATAATCAGGATAAATCTCATAGAGGTAAATCCAACGTGTTGACTTATTGTGTGATCTTATTTGGGAACCTGGGTACAGACCAAAATTAAGAGTAAATAGAGAATTTGTTTATTAAATGAACTTTGAAATATATTCTTGAAATAAACCATGAGAATAAATTTAATGTGGGAACCTTTTACGATAAAAGTCAATTAAACAATTTTGACTCTGTCAAAGTCAAACATCCAAAAATATGATGTTGGAAAAAGTATTACAAGTAAATATAAAAGTATATCATTAAATAGAGTTTGACTGTCTGATCACATCGGTGCAAACGGAATTCAATTCAGAGAAAGTTGGACCAAAAAGTGTACCCCGATTGGGACTAAAATTAGTCCCAATCAGGGACGGCGCTTCCTACTCCACTCAGCCGATCGAAGATACGTTCCTACGCAAATCCTACATAGTATTGTTTGGTTTCTTCCTCCATTCCTTCCCTATATAAGACCACCTTCACTCCCTCAATTCTCCATCATTTCTCACAATTCTCATATCAATTCTGTTGCTGGGAGTGAGGAGAACGCAGTGGTGCTATCATATTGGTGAAAGGTCGCCGAAGTTGGGAGTAATGCGCCGGAAAATATTCAAAACCTTCATGTACCTTCGAGGTAAGCCCGTAGATATATCTATCGACTAGAATGTTCAGATATATCGTTTCTACGTTCATAAACGGTCGTTTGGTTGAGTTTTGTGTTTGACATGCTTGAAGAACCAAGAA